CGCTTGCTGGGCAAGCACAGCACCACTGAGCTATACCCCTGGCCTTAAAACTTTTATTTTGAAACAGCATCTCACTATATTGCCCAGGTTGGCCTCGAACTTTGAGTCCTCCTGCCTCAGCTTCCTGAGTAGCTGGGATCATAGGCACTGCCATCACACCCAGCTAAAGTGTTTCTGTGTAGTGGCAGATGATCCCATCTGATTTCCTTACGGTAGCATAAAGGAAAAAGTACACAGCATACTGTTTGAGAATTCTGAATTTACACTGCTGGAGGATTTCTTTGATAAAACAGTGTTTTAGGTAAAACTGTTGAAATGCAGATGTCTATGATTCAAGATTGATACTGCTGGCCTCTTCAGCTCCTAGTAGTTTCTTTATCCAGCAGGTTTGTTTTGTCTTTCTTTTCTCTTTCAAATATCAACTTTATTTTGAAAATTTTTACAGCCAGGTATGGTGGTGCACACCTGTAATCCCAGCACTGGGGAGGCTGAGGCAGGAAGATCAATTCAAGTTCAAGGGAGCTTTAGCTATTTAGGGGTTCAAAGCCAGCTAGAACTGCATAGCAAGACCTTGTCTTTAAAAAGAAAAAAACTTTTACAGATACTCCTTATTTAACGACCTGCTTAACGACTGTTCAGACCTCTGACCCGCACCTGGGTTAGGAGGTAGGAATGTGAGTGGCAGAGTGGCCTGACGGCGGCTTCTACAGCACAGCACCGTAACTTTGCCGACTGTACACACAGCGCTGTACTGCAGCTTTGCGTTCTGTTACACGTTACCATACTGCATGTACGATTATGCACATAAAAGCAAGGTCATCGTGCTGGAGTTCCCTGTGACTATTTCTCCTTCTGAGTACTGTGCACACCTGTAGACCAATTCACCTAACGACCGAGTCACGGGAGCTGAAGCCAGTTGTTCAATGAGCGTATTTGTCCCAGAGGAGCCGTGCACCGGTGAGTAGTGGTTTGAAATGGATTTAAAACTTCTTTTCAATTATCTCCCAGAAGAGAGAAAATATGTGAGAAAATATCCAGTTATGCATTTCTAAGTCTTGGGTTAAAATTTTCTGTTTATTGAGCAAGGAAAGAAAGTACAAGCGAAAATGGGGTGGGGGTAACCGTCTCTCAAAAACAGGCCTATTCCCTGAAACTAGGCTGACTCAGAAGACACAACAATCTGACTGGCCAGAGCAAAATCCACTTTTTAACAGAATTAAATCAATTAAAAATGGTTTTGGAGCTTGGGAGCAAACCCAGGTCCTGTGCATGCTCAGCACGTGCCCCGCCACTGAGCTACACACACCCTTTATTTCTTATTATTTATCTCTGCACGTGGGACTGCGGACTGAACCCAGGGCTTTCACACTAAGCCACGTCCCCAGATCTTTAATTTTATTTTGACACAGGGTCTCGCTGTGTCACTAAGCTGCCTGTGCAGCTGGGATCTCGCTCACCATCCTCCTGCCTCAGAGTCCCTGCATGATAGGATCAGAGGTGCATGTCCCCATGCCCGGCCTACCCCCTTTTAAGGTCCTTTTTCCCAAATTCATTTTCCTCAGCTTCCTCCTTTTTGCTTTTGGAAGTGTTGGGGATTGAACGGAGGGTCTCAGGAATGGTAGCTACACCCCCAGTCCTTTTTATCTCAAGACACAGCTTGGCTAGGCTGCCCAGGCAGGCTGGCCTGGAACTTGCGACCCTCCTGCCTCAGCCTTCCCAGTAGCTGGGACCCCAGGTCCATGCCATCATGCCCGTACCCTGCCGTTTCTATCCCTCCTCACACTCACAAATGCACTGTGCTCCCAGCATGGGAGGCAGCTGGGAGCCGGGACAGCCAGCTACTCACGTGCAGCCTTCCCGGTCAGGGAGGTGATGCTCAGCCTCCGTGCCGCCGTGGGTGACTTCTGCTGGGGCGGGGTCCGACACTGCCGCCCCAGGTCTTCCTCCACCGCGGGCGCCATCAGCTCCCCGATGAGAATCCTCTCCAGGCTCCCGTCGTCCACGCCCTTCCCCAGCCAGCGCCCGCACGGGAACCTGCGGGAGGACAGGAGGCGCCCCGGTCACCAGCCACTCGGCATGGACTTTAACCAGGGGTCGGCAGTGCTCCCGTGGGTGAAGCCTCTTTACCTTCAGTCCTGTGAGCTGTTCACTTACTAGGAACACTTTACAAATGCAGAAAAATAGAGCAGAACCAGTGGCATAAACGCCTGCCTGGCAAGCGCAAGGTCCTGAGTTCAATTCCCAGTACCAAAAAAACCAGAAACAAAAATAGAGCAGAACGTATCAGACACCATATTTGATCAGACCTGCCTTGCGCTTTGCTTTTGCTGCCTGAAGCGCTGCCTTGCGCTTTGCTTTTGCTGCAGCTGAGGGTTTACAGCCAGTGACTGTCCACATGAGGGCCAGCCTCACAGGAGGGCCCCATCCCCAAACTAAAGTGATTCTTTCAGTGTCCTTTATTCGTTGTTTGTGTTGCTGGGAACCCAGTATTTCTTTTATACCTAGTCTACAATTAAAACTCTGGCTAGTTTTCGAAAGAGTATTTTCAAAGTAGGAATGAAGGTGAGGACGAAGGCGCAGGAGGAAGGAGCGGGCTGTCCCCGCCCGGCACAGTGCAGTGTGACCAGGGCCTCCCAGCTTCTCCTCTCAGCAGAAGCATGTGAAGCTGGGTGCCATGGGGCGCCTGCAACCCCAGCACTCTGGGCCACCGGGGCAGGAGGACTCCAGGTTTGAACCCACCCTGGGCAATTCAGACCCGCTCTCAAACTCGGTGTGAAGGCCCTGGGTTCAATCCCCAGCAGGGAGAAAGGAGCGCTGTAAGGTCCCTCCAATTCCCAGTTACGGAGCTCTTCTGCAGCACCTGCGGGCTAAGCGCTGGTGGCAAGTGCATCTTGTGGGGTGTGTTTTTTTATTTTTTTTTGGTGGTACGGGGGATTGAACCCAGGGCTTTCTTCACACTGAACTACATCCCAGCCCTTTTAAAGTTTTAAGACACGGTCTTGTTAAGTTTCCAAACTGCCTAGGCTGGGTCCCAACGTGTGATCCTCCTGTTTCTGCCTCCCCGAGTGCTGGGATTACAGGCATGTATCTGCATGCTTGGCTTTTTTTCTAAAAAATATTTTTGGAGACAACTTTACATCATTTAAACAAAATGAAATAAAATCCAAACAGACTAAATTCAGAAGCCAGTGGCAAAACTTTAGAAAGAAAATGACGGGCCCCTCCCTTCTCCGGGCCCTCCTCACCTGTACGTGTGTCCCGTGATCCCGTTTCTGACCATGACGCAGTCCACCAGCCACTTGGCCAGCAGCCCCGAGTTGTCGTGCCCGATCTGCACGGTGGTGAGCTTGCCCAGGTTCTGACACTGCAGGCAGGAGCACAGGGCACTCAGCACCCCGCCCGCCGCGCTGCGGGGCTCACCGCGGCAAACACGCCCACGCACGCCCGGCTCGGAGCCCCAGCACGGGACGGGAGGCTTGGGACACCGCTGCCTGCAGAGGGGCTGGGCTGAGAGGAGGCAGGATCGCTGGGAAGGGACGGCTCCGCGGCCTGGCGACCAGCATGGGCGTCTAGAGGGGAGAGGGTGTTGTCCACAGGGACTCACAGAGAGGCGGGCAAAACGCCGGCCCCACCCAAGGACGCCAGGCGTGGGGCAGACCCGTCCTTCCAGGTCTGGGGGTTGTGGCGGCAGCAGGAGTGCCAGAAGTTTGAGGCCAGCCTGGCCACGCTGTGAGTGCAAGGCCAGCCTGCACTATATGGCAAGACCCTGCCTCACAAAAAAAAGTTTCTCTATTTTTTAAAAAAATTCATACGTGTGCATAATACATCTTAATTGTTTTTACCTCCTGTACTTCCCTTTCCCTCTCATTTGTATCTGCAAAAGATCCATCTCTCTATTTCCTACTCGCTCTCTCTCGCTCTTTCTTTACACTTCGAGTTTCTCATGTAGGAGAAACAGTATGATATTTAAGCTTTGTGTCTGATTTATTTCACTTAACACTATGGTCTCAAAGTGCACCATTTTTGTAAAAACCAGTCAAATATTGTCCTTCTTTACGGCACAGTAGTGCTCTGTTGTGTACAAACACCTTTTCTTTATTCTGTGTTTTTCTATTTTTAACAAGAGACCCAGCTTAATGGTACAGCACTTGCCTAGCACACGCAAGGCCCTGGGTTTGATCCCCAGTAGCGCGTACAACCAAAACCAAACCAAAACAAAAAAGCCCAAATCAAATAAACTTAGGTGTTATTTCTGGAATTTTTCATTTAATTTGTTTGGACTGTGGTTGATTGCAGCTAGCTGAAACTGCCTCAGCCTCTCAGAGTGCTGGGATTATAGGTATGTACCTCACGCCTGGACTGCTTTGGTCTTCTCAGATGGTTTTGCTATGCAGCTCAGACTGGCTTTGAACTCATGATCTTCTTGCCTCAGCCTCCCTAATACTAGGATTACAGGCATGTGCCATGTGCCTGGAGAATGTGGCTTCTTCATAAGAAACCGTGGTGACCCAGCTGAAAGAAGACGGCAACTTGATTTACTAAGGCAGCAGAGATGGAAAAGGAGTAGGCTGACGTGTGAGTGTTTGGAAATTGCAAGATGGGTCTTACAAGGTGGTTTAGATTCCATCATTTGTAGGTAAAGAAAATCCAAGGGTTTTAAAATCTTTCATGGGCTAGGGATATACATGCTCAGTGGCACAACACCTGCCTGGCAAGCATGAGGTCCTGAGTTTGATTCCCAGTACAAAAAAAAAAAGATTTCATGTATAGATAGCTGTGAGCCCACTACACACCACACAGGAGGACAAAGAACTACTGGCCTCCAACTCCTAGAGCCCAAAGATCATAAGAATAGGACATTCAGGTAGGACTACTTCCCTTCTAAATTCTTCCCGTATAGCAGGATTAAACTGAGTATGTGCTCAAAAGCACGAGAATAATCTACTAGTTGAGACCTGGAGTTATGGTTTGTGTCTGGGTGTCCGCCCGCAAAGCCTCATGCGGCCATGGGGCAGGCTTTTAGAGTTTGACTGATTATGGGTGTGAGAGCTACACCCGCCCTGGGGTGGACAGTTTGCATATGTAAGGGAGAGGAAGAGGCTGCTTGCGGCCATTCCTCCCTTTTATGTTTGTTGCTTTTGCTGTGTTCTGCCACCATGAGCTGTAGCCCTCTGCCATGTGCCATTCTGCCTTGTAACCAGCCAAGTATGGACTGAAACCTCCACAAACTGTAAGCGAAATAAACCTTTCCTTCCTTAATTTTGGGTGCCAGGTATTTTGTCCCAGCAACGAGAGAAAAGTAACCAAGCACCTGGCATCCAGCTGCCACACGGCAGGCGTCTTTACAATGTCTCTCTGTAAATGTCACCATGTGGCGCAGAGGTACAAGCGTGACGCTGGCCTCTCTGGTCCTTGCCAAAGGCCACGCAGACACAGGCGGAGAAGAGCGGCTGTGGGGAGACTGAGCGGTGCTCCCGTGCCCTGCCGGCCGGGCCTGCGCTCAGGGACCAGACCCCGGCAGCCTAGGCCCAGGGCAGCAGGGAAACAGAGCTCAGCAGTGACTGACAACCACACAGCAGTAACAAGCGGCACGAGCTGCTGCAGACAAGAAGCACGCGGTCACACACTGTCCTGCCCCGGGGAAAATGGGCAACGAGACGGCGAACCAGAACCTGAGCGCTCAGTGCTCCTGCTAGGAGTGCGCTGCGGACCCACCTCGAAAGCCATCTCCAGGAGATTCTTGGGGATCTGCATCACCCCTGTGTCTCCCAGCTCTCCCGACACACAGATCCAAGGGTTCGAGGTGATGATTGCATTGCTCAGTTTCTTAATCGGTATGATTACGGACCTGTATGGGATCACTGCAAGCAAAATGTGGAAATTAATGAAAAATTACAGTAAACTTCCCTGGCATGGCGCTTCTGATCGTCCTGCCTCTGCTTCCTGAGTGCTAAGGTTACAGATGTGCATCAGGAATGAGCAGCGCCATCTAGCTTTTAAGGTGCACTTACACTGCACAGAGAAATGAGGTCGTAACTCTTCCAGCCTAGAACGCGGAGGTCAGGTTGTAAACCCTAAGTCCTTGTACATATGTGGTGGCATTCACGACTATCCACCTCACGCATGTAAGGGGAATCTACCACCACGGTGACGTAACCACCACTTACTACACAGCAACAGCCTCCGGCACAGCAGAAGACGCCCGAGGACACGCGCACTGACTGTGCAGCGCTGCCACTACTTCAACTGTTGGTTTCTGGTGGAGCTGAGCACTGACCCCAGGCCTTGCCTGAGCTAGGCAGGCTGCACCCGAGGCTTCCCAGCCCAGTGCTGGGGCTCCAACCCAGGGTGCTCCACCGCTAAGCTACATCCCCACTCCCCTCCTTCAAATCTTGACACAGGGTCTCTAAGTTGTCCAGGCTGGCCTTGAATCTGATCTGCCTGCCCTGGCCCCCGACAGTGCTGGCATTACAGGAGTGTACTACCATGCCTGGCTCCTGCTTGGGTTTTAAAATTAATTTTGAAACAAAACTGAGCATGAAGCTGGGCGTGGTGGTGCACACCTATAATCCTAGTACTTGGGAGGCTGAGGCAGGAGGATTGCCCCCAGTTCAAAGCCAGCATGGGCTGCATACTGAGTTCAAAGCTACCCTATGCTACATAGCGAGACCCTGTATCAAACAGCAGTAACAACAACAAACCCCCCCAAAATAAGTATGAATGAACATGGTTCCTGATTTGGTTTCATATGAAAATGGGGGCAGATGACTTCTTGGCTAGACTCCGTGGCTGATTCTCTTGAGGAATGCTTTTAAAGTACTCACTTTAGAGCTTTCCCTTCTCAGATTCATGGTCCAGTGTGAAATGCTGAGGATAACAAAGGCATGGCCATTCCAGACTCCCCATGAACCCTGAACTACAGTTTGGGAGGCTACCGAGGTGTGGTCCTGAAGCCTTTCCTTCTCAGGGCTCTTCCAAAGGCCACCACTAGATGGCACTGTCCCACTTTCTGTGGAGGCCAGGTAGCCTGCACAGGTCCCTTCTCTCTGAAAAGTAGGTGGCTCAGATACATTAGCATATTTTTGTCCATCGGTCTCCCAGTCTCCCTCCCACCCCCGTGCCCCAGGTGGGACTCAAACTTGCAATCTTTCTGCCTCAGCCTCCCAAATGCTGGGATTACAGGCACATACATGCCACTGCACCCAGGTTACCCTTTTTTTGTTTTTTATTTTTTGAGGTAAGGTCTTGCTATGCAGTTCAGGCTGGCCTTGAACTCACACTGTAGCTCAGGCTGGCCTCGAACTCACAGCAATCCACCTGCCTCACTCTCCCATGTGCTGGAGTTACAGGTGTGTGCCACCATGCCTGACACACTTTAAAAAAAAATAGGGTAGAATTAGTATTTTTTTGTTGGAGCCCTTGGGATTTGTCATCACTGGTTTGCAAGACGGGGTCGATAGAAACTGTCCTTGAACAAAGGTCACCTGCAGGACATGCTGCCCAGACACGGCCTCAGTCTGAGCTGCTGGGGAAGGGGAACGAGCAGGATGCGTGGCTCGTTTCCCAATTCTACGCGACTGTCTTTATGTTGGTCGAGTACTCTCCTTCTGTCCTTTTATTTTGGCTAAAGAAAAGGAAATGTGAGCGGGAAAGCCACACTATGATGGCCTGGTCACCAGCAAATCGGGCGACTGGGCTGAAGGCAGAGAGGCTGGCGTGGGGCCGTCTGGTGCCGGAAACCCTCAGCGCCGGCCTGCAAGCAGGGGCGCTGCAGCCAGGGCCTGTCCGGAGCTCTGCTCTGCTCCACTCTGCACTGAGGGGACCCAGCAGCTACTGTGCAGCTGACAAAGAAGAGCAGCACTGATGCGTCCAGGCAGGACCCGCGTCCTCCGGGTGAAGATGCGGAGGAGAGACTGGCAGACACGAGGGGGCCCTGGGACCCGAGCTGACCTGCTCGTCTGGAAGCACAGATCCTACTTTAGATTCTTATGTCTGCAGCAACCTAATTCAGAGGCGCTGTTGTACCCACTCCTGCTGCTTTTCACCTGTCTGCCAGGTGACAGTTTCACAATTCAGGCCTGTGAGGCGTGCGTGGTGCTGACTGGCATTCAGAGGAAAGTGTGTTTCTGAGCACAGAGCCTGCGCTCCTCCTTGGGCTGCCTCCTCCCTCTCTGCGGGGAGGGACGGAGGTGACGAACACTAGGGAGGAGGGGACACAGCTCTGGTCTGTGGCAGCACACGTGGCCACCTTTTACACGAGCTCCCTTCTTACAGAAAGGAAAGGAAAGTGCTGGGCTGTTTAAGGCACTGCTTTTCAAATTTCTGACATCTGGCGCTCAACACAATTCCTAAGTGGTACAGGAAAACTTCTCCAAGGCAGAGAAGGGACCCACTGCCAGGAAGAATGAATACTGGCGGGTAGAATACACACCACAGTGCAGCTCCCTGTCAAAAGTACACTGCCAGGCAGCACTTCCTCCCAGCAAAGACCTACAGCCTCCAGTAAGACCCTGAGGTCTGTGAGTTAGCCAAGTGTGGCGATGTCACACGGATTCCCTGATTCTCTGACTCTCTGTGTCTGGGGCATTAGACTGTTTAATGAAACAGTCCTCTCTGCATCCTTCTGGCCACAGTCTGCCTCAGGGCCGGCACCACACGGAGGAAGTAGACTGCAGAGGGCGCTAGAGAGCGCAAGGGTCCTGCAGGCCTCCCCGCAGACTCTGGGCTCGGGCCAGCTCCCGGGGCACCAGTGAGGCGTCCTCTGAGAGGACCCCGGCAGCCGGAGAGGTGCTGCCACCCTCAGTAGAGATACAGAGGCCCGCAGTGCCCACAGCGTGCCAGGCGCATCCCACTGCCGGAGAGCGGTGCTGACTCCCCACTGCGGCGGCCAGCTGAGTGGCCCCAGGCTTACCGATGGTGGTGAACACGCTGGTGAAGCAGAAGTAGTCCACGGCGTTGAGGGAAAGAAGGTGGTAGAGGAACTGCTCTCGCTCCTCCTCACAGCGCAGAAAAGCATAGCGCTTGTACAGTTTCCTGGAAGGGCAGGGCGAGCACAAAACACAGTGCGTCTGTTAGGCCTTATATGTCGGAGTAAAGAGAAGCAGCCCTGCCAGCACAGGAAGAAACTTCACCTTGAAAGAACACACAATCACCGAAGTCACGGCCAGCTGAGCCCCTCCCCCAGCCCTGCGCAGCCGCGGGCGCCGTCCCCAGGCCCACCCGGCCTCTAGCAAAACATGAGGGACGCGGAGTCCCTGTCTGTCACACGTGAAGAAATGTGGAAGTGACACCAGTGCTGGTAAGGGAGATTATGTCACAGCTGTGGGGCTGAGGACTCCAGAGAAGCATTCTGTCGGCAACAGTGACTAAGCCCGTCGTGCCCTCAACTCGTCCATTCTGCTCTCAGCACGCAGCCGTGAGACGGTGTGACGTGTCACAGAGCTACCTACACACTTCCACCCCCACGTTAACTGTAAGGCACTCGCCTGGCACGTGCATGGTCCTGGATTTGATCCTCCGAGCCAAAAACAAAGCCACAATATTGTATGGCCGTTAAAAATAAAGTTTAGAAAGAGTTCAACAATAGCACAGATATTACTAAAAATACTGTTGCCTCTTCTTCTGCCCAGACAGGGTCTTGCTATGTAGTTCAGGCTGGCCTTGAACTTGAAGCAATCCTCCTAGATCCTCCTGCCTCAGCCTCCCAAGTGCTGGGATTATAGGCATGTGCCACCACACCTGGCTTTCACTTTTATTAAGTACTTACATTAGGCACTTTTCCAAATGTTTATTAAAGATATTTATCCTCTTTTTTTGCCCTGAACTGAACCAAGGGTCTCAGTAGAGATACAGAGGCCCTCAGGAAGGCAAGTGTTCTACCACTAAACTACATCTCCAGCCTTTTTATTTTATTTTTGAGACAGGGTTTCTCTAAGTTGCTCAGGCTCATCTTGAGCTCAAGGTCCTCCTACCTCAGTCTCCTCAGTAGCTTGGATTACAGGCATGTGCCACAGTGCACAGCATTAAAATGTTTAATCCTTGACTCCATGACCACTGAGATACAGAGAAGTTATGTATCTTGTTCCAGCCTATTCAAATAGTAAATATTAAAGGCAATATTGGAACAGAGACATGCAGACTTCACAGTTTAAAATCCTCTATGGTGAAAGCTTATGATATAATGTTAAGCTGAAAAAGAATGGTACTGAACCACAAATCTAGTATTACCTTATCCAACAAGATATGACTAGAAGACAGTAGAGAAGAAAACATGAAATACTTAGTACTGTTTTTTAATGTGGCAAGACTGTAAGTAGTTATCAATTCCTTCTTTGTACTTTTGCCCCAATGAGCATGAATGATTTTTTTTTTTTTTGTGGTTTTGGTTTTTTTTCCTCTGGTACCAGGAACCAAACTCATGACCTTGCGCTTGCCAGGCAGGCGCTTTGCCGCTGAGCTAAATCCCCAGCCCCCATGAATGATTTTTATTCAGAAAAAGAGGGAAGGAAGGAAAGAGGGAGAGAGAAAGGTAAGGAGGGAAAGGAGGGAGAGACAGAGAGAGAGATAGAGACAACGATTTAAAAGAACAAGTCAGAGAGCCAGGCATGGTGGCTGCACTCGGAAGGCTGAGCGAGGCAGGAGGATCGTTGTGAGTTCAAGACCGGCTTGGCTTACAAAGTAACTTCAAGGCCAGTCTGAACTGCATAGTGAGACTCTGTCTCAAAAACGAAACAAAACAAAACAAAAAACAGAAAACAACAAGTTAAGTACCCAGGAAATATGACACACTGCATTCTTTGTGAGGGGGGCAGTTGGGGATTGAACCAGGGTCTTTATACTGGGCTATACCTCCAACCCTGGCCTTCACCCTTTATATATTTTGAGACAGGATCTTGCTAGGTTGCTGAGTTGCCCAGACTGGGCTTGCACTTGTCATCCTGCTGCCTCAGCCTCCAAGAGTGCTGGGGTTGACAGGAATGTGCCACTATGCCTGGCTTTTTTTGGTAAATCAAACCTACTCTTTGGACCTTAAATCTTCTCCTAAACTGCTCCAGGGGGGTATGTAGTGTAAAGGTGATATGTACAAATCCAAAATCACGAGGCTAGCACGTGCATGGTCTGGCATCACCACAGGCTTCCAACAGGCCATCAAATCCGAGGTCCTGGTGGAACTCCTCACGTAACTCTGCTCTGGAACCGAGTCCTCGGTCTTCAAACTGCCTCTCTGCACACATCTGGAAACACGTGCCATCCAAAAGGGTTTCTCCACAAAGGGAAATTGCCAATCCAGGGAGTGGTGACCTCACACTGACCTGACTGCTTTCCTGGCTCTACCCTGTCCAGGGTAAGTACTGGCAAGATTGTCAGGTAAGGCTTTTTACTACTGCTGACCTTTGCCCTATCCTTTTTTTGCTAGACCAGATTTTTTCCCCCCTGGGTTTTTTGAGACAAAGTCTTGCTATGTAGTCCAGGCGGGCCTTGACCTCACAACGATCCTCCTGCCTCAGCCTCCCACGGGAGTGCTGGGATTACAGGTGTAATTACAGCCACCATGCCTGGCTTTTTAAAGGAATTGTTATTGGCTTACAATACAAAGTGTTTACAAGTTCAACCCGTCCTGTGGTCCAGTTGGCTTTGCTCTGTCGCAGGGCACAGTGTGGTCCTGGGCTGCGCGGGCTGGGGCACCGGCCCAGCGGTGGCCACATGTGCCGCGCAGGCCAAGCTGCCGCTGCAGCACACAGATCAGCAGTGCAACAAGACGCGCCCTCTGCGTGCTTCCCAAGCACCAGGCGCAGACACAACAGTCTCCGGGCAGAGTCTTACTTGGTGAGCGGCTGGTTGGAGAGCAGCTGCTTGAGGTGCTGAGACAGAAGCTTCTTTTCCAGAGACAACCTAATCCACGCTCGAGCTCGCCCGACATCCGTCTTGATCTCGCTCATGTTCTGAATGTGCCTAAGGGAAGGGAACAGCAGAATGGAGTAGATCCCGAGCACGAGGCAGAGCTGCAGAGAACTAGCGCGGAGTCAACAGTGTGGATCGAGCAGTCACTTCACGTTACAGGAAGCACTGGACAGGGAGGAGGCTGATAAATCCTCCAAGGGCAGATCCCACCTGCGCCGGGGTCCCGCACCAGAACTCGCTCCACGGTGCACACGAAGGCAGCGTCCTAGGCCAAGCACCTAGCACTCGCTCAGTCTTTCAGCCTTTGTTACATCCTTGTCTTAGCCTCAATAAGCCAACTGGTTATTCTAGATTCTCAACTGTGGAGGACCACAGGGGCAACCCTTCTCCAAAGAAGAGCAACTGTCTCCATTCTGGCGGAACCTGGCCCTGTTTCCATGTACTTTTGTGTACTGAGCTGGCCAGGACTTTCCCTTGTCCCTTCAACTGGCTTTAAGCAATGCAAATCGGTCCAGCAGGTGCTGATGTGTAGCCTTTGAAGCACGGTGACAGGGCAGTGTTGCCCCGCTCCCACAACTCCCAGAAAACACGTATGAGCTGGGCGGGATGCGGAGCTGTGTCAGCTGGGATTGAACCTTGAGATGAGAGGCTATGACCTTCCAGGGCATGAAAGATTACACATCAGAGCTGAGGCACCAACCCCAAACGTTAGACACGACCTCAGTCGTGTTATGCAGAGTACACTTTCTGCAGATCCTTCTCTCTGCATATCACAGAGGTGATTTCAGGTCTCCCACCTAGCCCAGCTCACAGCGCTCACCTACTTCCCACCATTCTCACAGTCACTCATCCTCAAGCCACTCCTTTCTCCACGAATTAATAAACCCAGGTTGGGCCCCGGTTGAGGCCTTTGTTCCAGGTAGCCATTACCCTAGCTGGACTTAGGACCCTTGGCTCCCCACAACTACAAATATGCCTTAGTGTCTTTATTCTCGCCATGGGTTGAACTGGAAGTGGTAGATTGGAATTAACTCGCTAGAGTTCCAATACCTTTTCCTTTTGGGATTACAAACACAAACTTCCTAGGCCACGACGAGGACCAGGAAGTGCTCTGTATATCAACAAAAGACAAGTAATGATGCAATCTGAACAGTCAAGTTTGTATTAAAAATAACTGTTCTGCAGTTTGAAAATCTGCCACAGCTTTAATCTACTGAATGAGTTTTCAAGTTGCTCCAGAAGTTATAGAGAAAAAAGTAAATCTTAATTTCTGTGGCATTAGAGAAGCCAAGTTACACTGTGTGAATAATCTTAAAAACTGGCAAGATTTAGAAAATTGTGTGGTCACACAAAAAAAATGTGGCCAAACACCAACTGAATGCCACTCACACACATGTGTGCACATACATGTGTTCAGGGAGAAGTCACGCTATGCCCAGTAGAAGTGAATTTATTTCCCTAAACGTTTTCCTCCTAAAGGGGAAGGAGGATCAGACAGGTGCGGGAAGCCTGCGGGTATAACTGGGAAACCGCTGCCGTCAGGTGATCACTGAACAGTCCTGCTTCCGTGGCCACCACTCCTTCCTCTGATTTAAAAACATGGGAACACGTCCAGAATGACCCACTGGCTGTAGTAAACCCTGCAAACTCTTCTGTGCTGGTCCCAAGTGTCCAGAGGAGGCCAGCCCTGCACACAAGTCTCTGTCCTCGGGCTCCTCCTGCCCTCTCTGCTCTCTGAAGGTGAGGATGAGGCCACCAGCCTCGGTGCCCACTGTCAGAGCGACAAGAGGGGCAGCCCCACACCCACCGCAGACACACGAGGGAAGTGGCTGCAACCACGCGCGTGAGGAGAGCAAAGCTCGCTCTGCGACCACTCTGGGGGCTCAGCTACCATCGCCTCATCTCCGAGGCTTGTCTCACGGGAATGCCGCCACACATGGTCACGAGCAGAGGACTCTGGTGTCCCAAGCCTGGCCTCTGCCCGGCTCCTGCTGGGGACAGCGGGTGAGGGGACACTCGGCAGCCAGGAGGGCTGCAGGCCTCCCCCATGGGCTGGGGAGACAGCAGAGGCTGCCCTTCGGCCCCACCACGGCTTTAAACTTCCACAGCCAGTTGTATCCACCCCCTCACTTCGTTCACTGAACACTTTGCAAGAAAACGCTTATCTTTTCTAAGCGCAACCTTATTTCCTGGCACCACAAAACGCCCAGGATGCTTCCTGAGTTTGCCCTCCTTTGGCCAGGAACTATCACCTGTCCAGGGAGCCTGGCCCTTTCATTGGAGAGTGACACTTGGAAACCCGGGGACGGGCGGTCAGTGTGCTCACTGCTGCTGAAGGAGATGGCCAAGGGGACATCAGGAGAGGGACTGACGCCAGAGGAGGCGCACAGGCAGCAGTGGAGACAACTCTCTGCGCCACCTCTGGGCCTCTGTCAAGTCCACAGAGCCACACACCAACAACCTGAACATAAATTAGGAAAAACTCAACCAGGATAGGGAAGCACCCCCAAATAGAATATAAACTAACAAGAAGCACCTAGCTATGCTACTCCCTCCACACTGATGGGAATGGAGGAAGAAAGAAGCAATCAAAGCTTTAAAAAACACTTCCCTGATTGAATACTGAAAGGGTAAAGACAAAGAACACCAGAGCTGGACACAAACACTGTGCCCTGGTTAGCAGACGTACTTCTCACAGAGCAGCGGGTCGGCAACTCAAAACAACTGGGGCACATACCTCGGGGGGGGAAGCTGCGTAAGGAGGACTGCAAGTGCAAGGCTACCTTGGCCACTTAGCGAGACCTGTCTCCAAGAAGTCAAACCCAACCCGACCCAAACGAAACACGAACAACAAAACCCCCACCCAAACCAACCTGCCCGCTTACCCACAGGGCCATCTCTGTACACCAGGGTAAGTAAATACACGGCAGATGATTACAGCCAGGTTTCAAGGGGCTGGGCAAAGACACTGCACATAAGGAAAGGGAGAAGGCTAGAAGGATTTCTGTGGCATTAAGCTGGAAGCAGAGATTTTACCAACTCATGGATTAAAAACGCATCTCTTGTGTGTAAGCATACAATACACAGAGAGAGAGAAACAGGTAAGGCAGAGGTAACTCGTGCAGTGCGTAAGAACTGGCACGCAGACAGACACTTCCAGGCCTACTCTGGGCACCGCACACGCACAGATGCCCTGACTTGTTTACACCCCCGTTTTGAGAAGTACTTTACTGTCACCATTTTGTAGGTGAGAAAACAGAGTGCCAGCACTTGCCACGCTGCCGAGCTGTTAGTGGCGGAGCTGAAACACAGCCCATGTGAGCTGAGCACGGAGCCACAGTCCTCCTTTCTCTGAAGACAGGGTCTTGCTGTGTTGCCCAGGCTCAAGCGATGGTCCTGCCTCAGCCTGTCGTGCTGGACTACAGACACGCGCCTCGAAGCCCGAAGTCCTAACCAGCAAGCGCACTGTCTTTCACAAAGTGGAGAGAGCAGGCATACGCAGCACCTCTCTGCTCCCCCGCAAATCAACCCGAAGTATGTGAAAGTAAACAACAGCACACTGAAAGGAGCAGGGAATTCTTAGGTGATCTGACTACTTCTTCACTGGGTTTTCAAGCTTTAGCTTGAGGTCACAGCTATACATCTTTCAACAATCACCACCTCGAGGTGACAGCTACTGTGAAAGCCCTGGAGACACAGGCTCTATATTCCCCTGGAGAGAGCTGGGACCTTCCCTGTGCACACTTATGCTGGCCATGCGAAGAAGCACGAGGGGCCGGGGACGTAGCTCAGTGGCACAGTGCCTGCCTGGCAAGAACAAGGTCCTGAGTCCAATTCCTGGTACCAAAAAAAATCATAAACTATATTTAATCTACCTAGGAATGATGGAATTTTAAATATACATATGTAAGCTGATTCACTTGACAGCCAACATTTAGCAAACTCTTAGCATTACTCCTTTAAGCTTTTTATATGGACTAGTTTAACTCTCATTTAATCGCCTCTCGATTGAGTTGAATTCTCCCAACAATCCTATGAGACAGGTACTGTTTCTGTCTGTATTTTAGAAATAGGAAAACTGAGGCACAAGGAAATTATCAAATACAGATCCATAATTAATAATAAAGCACACCATAAAGACAAGCCCCAAGTGGCACAGACCTTACCACATTCATTCTACATCCACACATCTTAAAGCTGGGTAAGTACTGTGCCTAAAATGTGTAAAAGGAGAAAGCTTTATCTTGGCTTCAATCAAAAAAATCTACTGTATGCCTGGCATGATGGCACAGTCTCAGCACTCGGAAGGCTGAGGCAGGATTGCCAGGAGGTCGAGGCCAGCTGGGGTTACATATGGGTGTTCAAGACCAGCCTGCACTAAGTGAGATCCTATCTCAAAACCAAACCAGACCAGACCAAACCAGACCAAACCAGACCAGAGCAGACCAAACCAAACCAAACCAAACCAAACCAAACCAATTTTAAATGGCCGAATGCCTGCTGAAGACCCCCCACCCCCAGGGCCTTTGTACTGAGGTAGATCTTCAGCCCTTTTAAAAATTTTCTTATTTTGAGACAGAGCCTCACTAAGTCTCTAAGCTGCCCGGGCTGGTCTTGAACTGGCTATCCTCCTGCCTTGGCCTCCTGAGTGCTGGGATTACAGGTGTGAGCCACTGCGTCCAACCTTATTTGTTGTTGTTGTGTTGGTCTTTATCTGCAGACAGCAGGTATTTAAGGAAGTTTTCTTTTTCTTTTTAAGTTACAGAATAATTTAGAGTTGTTTTAAAACTTTTTGGCTGCCACCTTCCCTCGAGTTTAATGTCAGGCAAAAAAAGCACATAGGTAAGTTATTAAAATGCTTTCTAAAAGACACATAAACAAAACACTCACATAGCTATAATTCTTTAAGACATTCAGGTAAAGATAAAATATTTCAAAGTTACTGTCACATGGTAATCTATGTAACACACACCTCATGTCTTGGATAAGAGAAACCCTGAGTGTTGGTAACATAACTCCTGAGTCGGATCTTCTTCTTTCTGGTCCGAGGGCAACTATGGAGAAAAACATCAGCAAAGTATTAGAAAAAAACATTAAGAATTTAAGAGACAGCAACAGAAAAACCCAGTTGCCACTTTATGGGCTTCTACAGCCCCGGGCCTCAAGCCGACAAGGCAAATCCTCCCACTGAGGCAGCCCCAGACCTGTGGCTGCCTTGGGGAATTTAAATCTTTTCTAGAAGTCTACTTAGCAAATAATGTCATGTGTGCCAATTCTGCCTATGAGGTCGAGTCACTTTCTTCAACTGTTTACAGCCCGTTACCCTAGTAGCCTTAGGTAACCACACCTAAGCAATAGCTCTAAATTAAGCTACTAAGTATGTGAATCTTCACCTCTGGACTCATAAATTGAAATTACATAGATTAAATCCCAGAAGAATGCTTTTTAAAAAAGATTCTAAGAGTTTTGGCTCTTTAGTTTGGTGTGTTTCTATTTCAAAGTTCAGAATCCAAATTACAACGTGTGTACCGTAAAGGGAGTGAGCTGCACAGTAAGCACGTGTTACATGCACGCACCTACTCGCTAAGATGAAAGCAGACTTCTTGTACAGCAAACGAACTTAAGAGAAAGACTAATAGTTCACACTGATCAGAGAAGAAAAAAGGATTCTTCTACAGTAGTAGCCAAACAGCCAACTATTGGCTCATCTTGCCTAGTGTCACTTCAATGAGATGCAAAAGAGTTTTGTGCCTTTTTTCCATTTCCATTTCTCTCACCTGAGAATGAAAACTATCTTTTTTTTTTTTTTGTTTTTTTTGAGACAGGGTCTTGTTACGCAGTTCAGGCTGGCCTTGAGCTCACTTTGTAGCTCAGGCTCGTCTCGAACTTGAAACAATCTTCCTGCCTCAGCCTCCCGAGTGCTGGGATTACAGGCGTGTGCCACCATGCCCAGCTTGAGAATGAAAACTAAACTGCAAGATGTTACCTAGAAAATTCTCCAGTACAGTCAGACCTTAGGGAATGGGGTTTTGCTGTAGTTTAACGTGCTAGTCACTCTGGCTTTAGATCTGTTCCACTTTGGGAGACCAGAGTGCACTGGTCACTGTGTACACTACACACAGCTGGCCCTGAGGAACACAGGCGGGGTCAACACCTGCCAGCTGTGCATGATTACTAAGAGGCCTGCCAGGGAAGAGGGCATGGAAGGCAGCCTGCAGGCAGCAGTGTTTCTGGGCACCCGCATGCCAGGTACAAGGCCCAGAGGCCCTCTGCCGGGCCGGCTGGGGAGGGCGCTTGCGCTGCAGCACGGACAGTGCGGTCTGCCCTGGTGGTCTGGGAGTGTTCATCTTCCATCCCAGAACGTCACCACTGGTGTGTGTTATTCAACAAAACGTGTTTGGGGGCGAGGGGAGCATGAAACAGCTCAGAGAATGCTGCTGATCAGACAGCATGGAAGACGGCCACACAAGACGCAGGCTAGGATGGGACAAACAGACGCTGTGGCTGAAGAGAGGTGCCTCGGAGACAGGACAGGAGGAGGGAGCTGGAGCTGGTGAGGGGCTTAGTGAAAGCGGGGGAAGAGGTGGAGCTCAGGGGTACAGCACTCGCCCAGACAGAGGAGCCTGACATGCGACAAAGCAGCAGCAGCCACAGGAAGCACACTCGCAGGCGTAAGCATGCCCTCCCCAGCCTACTCTAGGACCCACTACGAGCCACCCTGCTCGGGGCAACCTTTCTCCAATATGCAATGCTCTCCCTAAGGTCTCCACGTATGTGTTAATGTCCTAAGCTCATCCGCTAACACTTCTGTATCTCTCTCCTCGTTTCCAGCCTGTTTGTTACTTTAGATTGCAAAACTGCACACTGCTTACTGATCCAGCACCCAGCTTCCTTGGAGCCTTCGGAGAACTGAACAGAGGCCTCTGCGGGCGAGGGGCTGGCCCTCTGGTGCAGGTCTTGGGCTGTGACCTGGTCTCTTGTGAGATCTCCACACTTTCCCTTCGGTATACTGTTAGAGAAGCTGTCCCCTCTCAACCAGATTTGAGAGAGTGAGCCTCCATCACAGAACACGCCACACTTGACATTCCAGCTACTCCAATTACACTCTCTCTCCCTCCCTCCCTCTCTCTCTGTTGTTTTCTCTTCTTAAAATGCACAGGGCCTAGTGAGGTAAACGCAGCACACACACTGCACAGACTCAAGAAGATGACACTTTTGGGCTACTGCTAGATAGAACTGTAGGGAGGGATTTTGGAAAGGTATGCTATACTCTGGGTGCCTTTTAGTTAAATGGAATAACATTCTGATCTTGCAACAGAAATAAGCAAGTCAGACACCCAGAACTGTTAAAAGAAATAAGGGAGCTGAACTAGAAGTTATTCCAAACAGGACAGTGGCAGGCAGCAAGCAGAGGGACTCAAGAGTCAAACAAACATTAGGTATTAAAATGTTTGAATATATACTGTCCCACCTGGGCGTGGAGCTGCACACCTGACTCCCAGCACTCTGGGAGGCCAGGCAGGAAGATCACAAGCTCAAGCCCAGTCTGGACTACTTAGTGAGACCCTGTCTCAAAATAAAAACCAGGGCTGGAGCTGCGGCTCACTGTGAAGACCCTGGCCTCAATCCCCCGTACACGTGCTTTCTCCCTCTCCTCCCTCCCTCTCTCCTTTTCTCTCTCTGTTCCTCTCCCTCTCAACTAATTATTACCTTCTTTTGATTTTCTGTTTGGGTGCTGGGAATTGAGCCCAGGACCCTCACACACCGAGCAAGCACTCTACCTCTGAGCTACACCCTGAGCCTTGGCTGAGGAGGCAGAAAGCAGCCCAGTCACACACATCTCTTCTAGGTGACAGTGCTCGAGTGCCACATCCATGGAGCTTTGCAGCACACTGCAGATGACCAGCGGCTCGTGGCCTGACTGAGGAGGTGCTGGTGTGATTACCTGAGACACACCAACGGCGAAAGCCTGCCAGGGACAGCAGGTGGAAGGGCACAGGAAAGTGTTAAGATGCCCCATGCCAGGCGCGGTGGTGCATGCTTGTAATCCCAACACTTGGGAGACCGAGGCAAGAGGACTGGCAGTGAGTGTGAAGCCAGCCTGGGCTACGTAGTGAGTTCACGGCCACCCTGACACACAGAGACCCTGTCTCCAACAACAACAGCAGCATGTCCTAAAATCCTGGACGTTTTTTTTTGGTGGTGCTGGGGATTGAATCCAGGGCCCTGTGCATGCAAGGCAAGAGCTCTACAGCTGATCCACATCCCCAGCCTCTACTCATCTTTGAGTCTACAAAGTAGGGCTGCAGACAGAGATCTGGGACAACGGGCTGGATGACGACACAGGCATGCGCAGCTGCTGTGATTTGAATCGTGTCCCCTGACATGACGCGGCAGCCGCAGCCCCCAGCACCAAGGGGCATAATCTTGTAGGCATCTCTGCAGATGATCAAGTTGAGCACCCAAGGGTGAGGCCTAACCCAGTATAACTGGTGTCTACAGAGCAGAGGAACTCAGATGGAGCACAGGGGAAGGTGACGGGGAGGGCACCGAGCTTCCGACGCGAGGCTGGACTTCATCATTCCAGAACTGAGCGCGCTGGGACGGAGGTCGGGGCCTCACGTATGCCAAGCAGGCACTCTCCCGAGGCCTGTTCTACACAGTCAGAACACTATATTCTCTCTACCTCTGTGTGGTGCTGGGGATTGAACCCACGACCCTTTACATGCTAAGCACATGCTCTATCATGGCACTGCATCCCCAGCCCTAGAATAAGTTATTTTTAAACTGACGTTTTAGTATTTCATACTTTCATACTGTGAAGTCTGAGCTTTCTAGACTGAATCACAGAAGTACTAGAGCAATATTATAAAATCCACCCCTTTAACGGACTTTGCTTTATAAGCTGCGTGGCCCATGCGGATGCTCCTTAGGGTCGGTATGCAATGTGCTGCTCTTGCTTCTCACCCTTCACCGACACACGGCAGCGGGGCAGAAACAGCCCTGGAGAGCTTCGACCCGCATTTCTGTTCTGCTGTCCCACTTCTGGCTGAAGCCAGGACGCGGACCCCAAAGGAGGCACCACACGGGCCTGGCCAGGCCCGGAGCGCCACGCCCTGCTGTCCAGGCCAGGCCCCTCCTGGCTCACCTGGCGGCCTCCACTTCCTCGCCTCACTGGCGCTGGGCTTCCCAGCTGTCACCCTACAAAAGCCTGACTGTCTCCACTGAGGAACCGATTTTTTCTAGTTGGGATAAAATGACCTCTTGGTCTTAGGGCTAGGATCAAATGCGAAATGGTCGTGGTCTTACGGTCTGAATGGCTGTATTTTCTGTTAGAGACAGTTAAGGCAGAAACCAATCTCTCTTTTTAAACAGAAAAAGGGGTACAGAAGATGGATCCTAGAGAATGCTTTTAAATTTAATATGAATGTTTATTAATACGGTTACACCTGGGGCATTAGAAGCGCTCCAGGGCAATGTAGTGTTAAACTTACATCCCTATGACAGCTGCCTTATTAAATCCATTTTCAAGCTTGACCTGCAACGAGCACGGCATTAGGGTAGTGCTGCCCTCTAGGGACAGCAAGTAAAAGGGAGTGGGGATAAACACAAGAGCTTTCGAATCATAGTCTCAATTCATTTTCTTTCTCCTTCTCCCCCACCCTCCCTTCTTCCCTCCGTCTCTGTCTTTTCAGTACTGGGAATTAAACCCAGGACCCTTGCACTGAGTTATGGCCTCAACCCTTTATTTTTTAATTTTCAGACAGGGTCTTGCTAAGTTGCTAAATTCATCAGGCTGGGCTTGAACTTGTGATCCTCCTGCTTCAGCCTCCCAGACTGCTGGGATTACAGGCGTGTGCTACCACATCTGGCTGTAATGCTTTATTTCTTAAACTGGTGGTTGGCTTATGAGTTTTTAAAATCTTTATTTTTTGTATTTCTGAATATCTGATATAATCCATAATTTTATTTTATTATTTTTTTGTTTTTTGAGACATGGCCTGACTATGTATTCCAGGCTGGTTTTGAATTCACTATGGAGCCCAGGCTGGCCTCAAACTTGTGGTGATCCTCTTGCCTCAGCCTCCCAAGTGCCACAATTTTAGAAAAGGTTTCTAAATGGCTGATTCAATATAAAACATTGTACCTGTATCAATTTTCCACTGTTACTTCTACTTTTTTGAACTCCTTTGTGAACTTTTATTTTACATCAAAGCAACCTAGAGCTATAGTCAGTTGTAGTACAGTGTTTGCCTAGAATGTACAAAACCCTAGGTTTGGTCCCCAGTACCTTAAAGAAAAGGCAAGCTCCTTGTTGTGAAAAAACACACAGTAGGTAGAATATCTGGGGTTGGACCCATTACGGCAAATACAAGGAACCCAATGTAACTCTAGTTTGCAGAAGAATGAGGACACTTCTGACACGTGAGGCTTTCTGTGAGTCAGAGTCTGACTCCTAAGGCATGTGTTCCTGCTCCTCTTAGAGGCCGAGCCCTAGGTTCAAGACCAGCCTTGGCAGCATAGCAAAACTTTGTCTATAAAGTAAAATAAAATAAAATAAAATCATCTGACTTTTTTTGAGGGTCTTGCTATATAGTCCAGACTGGCCTTCAGCTTGCTTATGTAGCCCAGGCTGGCATCAAACTCACGATGATCCTCTTGCCTCAGCCTCCTGAGTGTTGGGATTACAAACATGCACCGCCACACTCAACAATAATCTGACTCCTAAAATTTGACACATAAATATATATTCTTCCCTAAACAATTATACTTTTTTTGTGGTACTGGGAATCCAACTCAGGAGGTTGTGCTTGCCAGGTAGGCACTTGTGCCATTGAGCTATATCCCCAGTCCTCCCCTAAAAGATTTTTTTTTGTCTTTTTGAGACAGGGTCTTGCTATGCAGTTGAGGATGGCCTTCAACTCACTATGTAGCCCAGGCTGGTCTCGAACTGGCAGCAATCCTCCTGCCTCAGCCTCCCTGTGCTGTGATTACAGGCATCCACCACCATGCTCAGCTTAAAAGATTATTAATTATGGTCACAAAACTTTTCTTTACGATAAAAGTCAGTATACACGACCCTCTAATATTGCTGAGAGTAAAGTATCCATGTATGGTGTTTTACAAGGCACAGGGGCTTTTGTGCATGTGATTTCTTTAATCAACATGACTGCCACGAAACAGTTCATATTATTCTGTATTACAGGTGAGAAGGCAGAAGACAGGAAGGTGCATGACTTTCCCCAGGCTCACAGCTAATAAACAATATGGCTCCTCTGCTCTATCCCGAGACCGGCAGGATGGCTAAGTTGTTAGCTCCAGACAGAGAGACACAGAGACAGAACAAGGTTTCACAAGGCTTCTGTGGATTCTTCTCACACTTGGTTCTGTAGAACCAAACCCCATGCTGATGCCCTCTCACCTGGGGATTCTGCGAGGTGCTCCTGTTTCTCTTCTCTGTCCTGAAACTGGATTAAATGTGACCACAAAGCCGACTTCCCCTGAAAGAAGGATGAAGACAAATGCATTCATCCTGATGCAATAATGTGCTAAAACATGGTTTCTCTTAAGACCATTCCCAGGTGCACCACGGCTGCTTTCTTTTTTCTGGAATTAAAATGCTGCAGCACAGTTCTCATCGTTTTGTGACAAAGGATCTATCCTTTCTTTTTTTTTCCTTGTCACCTTTTTTTGGTGGTAAACCCAGACCCTTCACACTGAGCTACATCCCCAGCGAATGTTATGTTATGTTGTTATGTTATGTTACGTTATGTTACGTTACGTTACGTTATTTTATTTGGAGACAGGGTCTTGCTAAGTCGCTCAAGCTTGGCTTGAAACTGTGACCCTCCTGCGTCAGCCTCCTAGGAGCTGGGATTATAGGAGTGCACCACTGTGCTCCGAGTAGTGATGAGAGTGCCTAGCTGTGGGGACTCCAGCATTCCTGTGCACATTACCTGCTTGACCTGCAGGCCGTGGCTCCAGATCCTCTCTAGCAGGTCGCAGAGGCTGGCGATCAAGGTGTTTTCCTCCAGGCCAGTGATGTTCGCCTCCCCGTGGCCCAGCTCCACGGCCTCGTGGCCCATCTTCTCCACCAGCATGCGCTTGGTCTGAAACACAATGGTGCAGTTACCGGGGAAAGCACAGAGCCACAGGCCCGCCAGAGGGTCAGGGCCCGGGCTTCCCATTCTACTCTGAGCACCACAGCTCTCCGGGCACCTCGGGCAACGTCTCCATCTGTGTGGGTAACTGACACGAGTAACAGCTCTAATTCACTTCGGTGCGAGACAAATGCGGGGTCACTAAAGAGAGAATGCGAGTGTTTATGAAGCACTGCTGCTATGACACTGGGCAAGTGCAGCAGGCACAGGAGACACTGAACCTGCACACCACCCGCCCTCTGCCGCCCAGCACAAGCTCCCCTTGCACTGGGTCTGACTGTGCTTGCTCAGGCAGGAAGCATAGGACCAAGATGCTTCTGAGAGCTTCCTGGTCTGTGACAGAACCAGGGCTCGGTTTCCCTTCCTCTTTTTGTTCTTGTCTCCTTCTCTGCTCACACATATGCACCAGAAAATAAAAAGGAAATGGACATTAGCTTTAGGTAAGTTAATCTGCATTAGTCTTAGCTGTTCTCTAAAATGTAAACTGGGACAGGACCAACTTCCTTGAGGCAGGGAGCTTGTCTGACTCTTCTCTGTCTGCTGATGCTGAGGATGCATTTATTGAATACACGAAGAAGGCACTGAATGACAGCTGTCAAGCAAAGGAAATGACCGGCGAGGATGATACTCTGAGCTCTGAATGCTGCCTCCCTTGAAGTCGCATCTGAGAGGAAGCTGCGGGCAGTGCAAGCTAACTACACCGCAGCCAGGTCCTCCTAAGGGCACACAGACACACGCACGGCACAGACGGGCCCCTCACGCTCCTGACAGCTCTGAGCAGCTTGGCGTCTGTTTGCGTTGCAGGGGAGGATGGCAGTAGCTAAAAAGCTGAAGGAGACCGCACGCAGCTCCCGCGTCACTGACACTGAGGCCGGAAGAGGTCCACGGAAGTGTGTGGAGGGGCACTGGGGTCTGTGCCACAGGGAAAGATCCCTTTCCGGTAGCGACAGGTGCCGATGGGGGTGGGCTCGGCCCCCCAGCCCACATGTGGGGATGGGCAACAGTCTGGCATCAGCAGTACTTACCTTCATCCTACACTCCTTTAGTAAGCCTTCTACAAATTTTGAGTTGGTCTGTGCAATCACTGCGGGAGAGAGGTCTGACAGCTTGGGTTGTCTCAGGTTTTTTCCTAGACTTCGCGCCTCTTGCATGTATTTCTAAAAATTGAAAGTATCCTTAGTGAATAAACACCAGGTATTTTTCTGTCCTGCTTAACCTTACACAGACAGATGCAGGAACAGACAAGACCACAGAGCTTCTAAGCGCGCACGAGCAGCAGGAATCAGCTTTGGTGTGCTGACGTGTGGTGGCCACCCCCACTCCCCCATCCTGTCACCTGTGAACTCTCCGGAAAGAGCAGGACAGAAACCTCCCCAGGTGAGACTCACTTGAGACGAGGAGGAGTCTCACTCTTACTCTGGCCTGCCTGGAGCTGTGACAGGTCAGGATCAAGGTGACGACAAAAGCCCTTAGGCATGTGGGTGGAGACCCAGGTTCTCAGGTCCCCGCCTTCGGGACTGCTCTCCCCACACCGGAGACCTTACACCGAGCCTTCCACTCCGAGTCACAGCAGTGCAGTCAGGAGCTCCAGAACTGCACTGCAACTTACGTTACCACCTGAGGCCCATCAACTAGGTGGGTTATGAACCTCGGATTATCCCTGAGGTGGACACGAGACATGCCACGAAGCCCACCACTGAGCTCTGACACCACACTGAGGAGCACAGCGTGCTCGCAGGGTGGGCGGCCTCTTCCCCCGTGGTGCTCACGGCCCTCCCTCGCCTTGCCCTGGTTGGGAGAAGGAGCCGCAGTGATAGGGTAGCGTCCGGGGACTCTGAGGCACCACACTGGGTAGTACAGAATGCATGTTCTCTCCTCTTCCTGGGCTGCCTGAAAAGCCTCCTCTAGATGCTCTACCTCTGCATCAGGGCTACTGGGTAGAACCTCCAGGAGGCTCCCATGTCTCAGGATCATATTTAAAGAATAAGCACTCTGAATTCACAAGCCGCATCTAACACCGGCCCTCAGGCACACATGCGAAACCTACTTTCTACCTCAGCGGAGAGCTTGGTAGTATAAGACATGTGTAAATCCTCCGCATTCTTCAAACATGAGAGTTTGTAGGGTTAACATACTTCCCCTCTGAGAGAAAAACAATCTGCTAACCATGAAAGTAAAAAACTCCACCAGAAGGGATTTAACTGAGCAGTTTACCTGTTACCTTCCAATTCTCATGATGAAAGTTAACATTAGCAAAATAATGTTCTTTCCCATCTACTGATTTTAAGGAAAATTTAATATCAAATGAATTTTGTAAGCATTGGTTCCTGCAGCAATTATGAATACTTTTCTGTTTCAAATATTTTTAAGAGGGCTTAGTAGGAAGGAGACGATGTTGGTCAAAGCACACAAAGTTTCAGTTAGATGGGGGGATTAAGATCTGGAGAGCTACTGTACAGTGTAATTACTGTAATTAATAATAATATACTGTACCCTTGAACACTGCTGAGAGAGCAGGTTTTAAATGTTAAGTATATGCTGTGATAGATACGCTAATTCACGTGAGTTCATCTTTTCACAGTATGTATGAGTAGCAGGACAGTGTGTCACATACTATACATACACACAATTTTGTTGTCAATTTAAAGACTAATAAATTTTTTAAAAGATTAAAAGAAAATAAAATGGAAAATTGGTAACAAGGGAACTATTCTCAATGGAGAAGTGTAACAGTGTGGACAGAAACATTCTAACACTTAGTTTCCTAAGAAAGTCAGTGCGAAAAATGAAAGCAGAATCCAAGAAATCAACCTACAGTACAAGGCATGAGCCCTATATAAGAATTATACCCGTTTCTAATTATTGTTTGGGATATGTATTAAAAATGAGACATGAAAGGTTGGTAGAAACATGTTAAAGGCTTTACGTGGAATGCTGAATGTTTATAAAGGGTCCTTTTTGCTTCAACACCCCGATCTTTAGCACTCTTGCAAACAATGACAGAACCGTGACAAGACTCAATTCTCAAGAAGAGCTAAGAAGCAAGCTTGCTTAGGAAGAAATGCAATAGCTAGAAGAGAGGAGTGAGACTATGGCTGGGCAAGAGGCTAGGAGGAACTGAAGCATTTCTCCTTCTTTCTGGAATATATGAATACACTTTGGAAAGGCAATAATTTGATTAAAACCTACACACTGTTGAAAGTATGTGCAATGACTTCTATGCATGGACACAGCTAGGCGGGCGCTGTTCCCGCTGTATCCGCTAAGCACCCAGTGCACAGGTGTGGGTCTAGTGATCGGCCCACGCTGCGGCCCCTCGTAGTCTGCGGTAGCCGCGGAGCTGGCAGCACCGCAGGGACACTCACAGGGAGGATGCAGGCCAGAGGCCCAGGAGTGAGGTGCCTCTGCACACACACATGGGGCAATGCCTGAAAGTAAACAAGTGATGACAAAAATGGTAAGTGGAAAAAAGATGTATTTTGAAATGAAAAATGGGAATGAACTTTTCACAAAGAATGTTTTCCCTATAAAGTCCATTTCTCTACAGACAGACGTAACTCCAGATTTGTTTCTGAGATTTATTTCTGTCAAAGGCAGAAAGTAACAAACCAGTAGGACATGCCTATAAAAATATATCCTACCATTCAAGAAACACTAAATGTGGTTTAACACAGGCTTTGCCCTCCCTTTGTAGCAGACATCCTATCTCTCTAACGGCTGCTGAACTCATGAAGAGGACCCCTGCAGAATTACCGACGTTGATGCTAATGATGCGAGAGAGGGGGGAAAGATCTGAGGTTCTCGAGCCCCCAGATGCAGAGCTGTTAGCGCAGCGCGGTGCAGGGTTAGCAAGAACCGACTCCTGGCTCAGATACTGAGTCCTGGCCTCAGGCCCACGCTGCCTCTGTGTCCTCTTAACTCCAGACACGGCTCCTGGACTTCAGGTGACTTGTGCTATGCTGACAAGATGACCTTAAAGGCTCCTCTTAACCTGACATTCTACGCTGATGACTAGATTTTCCAACAACAGAAAATGTGGACCAGGAAGGTAGATGCTGCGGAAATAAAACTCAGCAAAGGGGCTGGGGATTTAGCTCAGCGGCACAGCACCTGCTTGGCAAACGCAAGGTCGTGAGTTCGATTCCTGGTACCGGAAAAAATCCCCCCCAAAAAACAAAAACAACAACAAAAAAAACTCAGCAAAAAGAAGCTGAAATGTAGTCACTTCTGTCCTTCTGCAAAATGCTTAAATAAGAGCGAAGTTGTAGCTCTGCGGTGCAGCTCAGCAGTGAATGGTCACCTAGCATGTCCAAGGCTCTGGGTTAAAAGCCCAGCCCCACATACAGGGAATCTGCACATTCCATGTCTCTTCCCTTTAGAAGAAAAGCAATTTGCTACCCAGTACCAAAAAACCAAAACCAAAACCCCAAAGCAAGCACACACACTCCCACCGAGGCGGCCGCAAAGGCTCTACGGAGGCGGCCTACGTCAGCGCACGCGCAATGGGTACCTGATGGGAGGAGGGCTGAGTGCTCACACCGCAAGGTGACCGGGCGTCTACAGCTACGTGCACACACGTGTTCCAACCACCACACGCGTGAACACTGTGAACACTCTCGGCAGAGGACATACCAGGCAGCACTCAGAGAAGGACTTTTTAGGAGGCCGTGTGGGAGGAGGTGGGCCTTGCTCCCACTCCCAGAATGCCATGGAGTTCTGACAGACATGGTCCCCGGAAGGCTAAGAGGATGGAGAAGTGGCAGTGACAGGAGGAAAAAAGAAAAGGACAGGGAGAGAGACACAAGCAGAACAAGCATGCATCTGACAGGAGCGCGGCACAGGGGAGGGGGAGAAACAGTACAGCAGCCAAGGAAGAGCACTGCACAACAGGTGCTTCCATTCTTCAGAAAGAGCTTACAATCACACATGAATGTTAACAAAGGTCAACAGATGCTCTGAATGACGTTTTCTGCTTTATTTTCACACATTTGAGCTTAGAAAATAATTAACAGTTGTTTTTCTTTTTTTTTTGAGATAGGATCTCACTATATAATCAAGGCCTGTCTCACACTCTTGACGATCCTCCTGCCTCAGCCTCCCAAGTACTGGAATGACAGGTGGGTGCCACCATGCCCAGGAACAGACTTTCTGATTGCATTCTGTTCTGACCACAAGAAATAATAAAAAACTTACTAGTAATTATTGAAATGCATAACTGTGGTCTTATTTTTAAAGAGTTAAAAAAAAAAAGCACAAAGATGTCAATTTATTTATTTTATTTTTTGTCTTTTTGAGACAGGGTCTCGCTATGCAGTTCAGGCTGGCCTTGAGCTCACTGTGTAGCCCAGGCTGGTCTTGAACTCACAATGATCCTCCTGCCTCAGCCTCCTGAGTGCTGGGATTATAGGTATGAGCTACCATGACAGGCTAAAATATTTTTTAAAAATGGGGTCAAGGGGCTAGGGATTTAGTTCAGCGGCACAGCGCCTGCCTGGCAAGCGCAAAGTTGTAAGTTTGATTCCGGGTACTGGAAAAAAACCAAAACCAAAACCAAAAAAAAAAAAAAAAAAAAAAAAAAAAAAAAAAAAAGGGGGTCAGCAAGCCAAGGCACAGGTAAACACACTACCTACTAGTCTGGATTGTATCTGAAACCTTGAAATGTCTATGTTTCTCCTTACTGGAGACCTACACCATCAACCTAAAACTTACCCTAAACGTAACTTTCCTTGACACAGCACACAGAAAAACTGGTTTGAGAGCCCTATGTCACATGCCTTGAAACAATGAACACAGAAATGGTGTTTTCTGGTATAAATGAGCACAGAAGGTTAACACTTTAAAATGTAACAGTGAGTTTCCGAGGCAGGCAGACGAGCCTGCACTTGAAGCCTGGCTGCAGATGCGGCTGCCCGGCTCCCGCAGCCCTGGCCGGTGGCGCGCACACCCACCTCCCGCAGGTCGCTGTCCAGGCCGGCGTGCTCCGAGTGCTGCCGCAGGCGCTCCTTCCGGCGCTGCGCCGTGGCGCTCCGGCTCACCCAGCGGCTGAGGAGAGAAGCACACCAAGAGGCCGCCAAGTCAAGACACGCGCGCTATCAGAAAGGCTGACAACAAATATTTTCAATCAATTCTCTACAAAATAGTGTACGTAGCAACTTTATTAGGATGCAATTAGAACACCACACACTCCGCCTCCTTAAAGCACACACCCCTGTGGTTTCTGGTATGCTGCAGGTGTGTCAGACAGCGGCACATTTAATGCTTTTTATTTTTTGGTACTGGGACTCGAACTCAGGACCTTGCACCTGCCAGGCAGGCACTTATGTCACCGAGCAATATCCCTGGCCCTTAATGCCTTTTAAACCAGGGTTAGCAAAGGGTCAGCGCAGGCCTGGGATGTAGCTCTGTGGTGGTGCACCTGCCTAGCACTGCCAAGACCCTGGGGTTAATCACAGTACACCAAAAGCACCCCACTGCCAAGGAAAGAAGTGCCTATTCCCAACTGAACTTTTCTTTGGGAGCAAACGAAACAAAGCAAAACAAAATTCTCAACTTTGGACTTTTCTTCCTGTTGTACTGGGGACTGTTGTTTTTTTGTTTTTCTGCTGGTACCAGGAATCAAACTCATGACCTTGCGCTTGCCAGGCAGGCGCTATGCCACTGAGCTAAATCCCCAGCCCCTGTACTGGGGACTGAATCAGGAACCTTATGCATGCTAGGCCAGTGCTCTCCTATAGAGCTGCATCCTTAGCCTTTTTTAAATTTTGAGACTGGGTTCCACTAAGTTGCCCAGACTAGCATCAAACTTGTAATCCTGCCTCGACCTCCCAAGCAGCTGAGATTATAGGTATGCACCTCCATGCTGGGCCAATCTTTGGATTTTCACTGCTCAGGCATTTATGGGTTATAAGTCAGCAGCAGAGGGTCAACCCATATTTCAAATGAATTAATGTGGTCTTGAGGAAAAGTACTCAGACAGAGATGTTTAATTACACACTGCCTCACTAGAGCAGTGGAGTGCCCCCATTGATTCCTTCAGTTCGTTACTCAAATGAAGAACAGAATATTCTTACTTGTTATTGGTAGGCCCTGTGGCCAAGACATCGGACTGTAACTTTGGAAAGAATCCTTGCTCATATTTGCCTTGACCGATTTTCATGTCTAGCAGATGTGGATGGATTGCAGTGTGATCCATTTTCATTAGTCTTTGCTCAATGGATTGGGCTATAAATTAAATTTATAACAAATCAGACCCATGATGAATGTGATCATTATGTACTGCAAACATGTACTAATAAAAATAAACAAATTATAAAAAGAGAAAAGAAAATTAGAGCTATTTCACTGCTAACACTTCAAAAATAATGCTTCTTCCATTCATGCACATGAAGAATTCAATCAGCCCAACATCCTGCAATATTTTTATAGAAAGGTTAATTTAAAATAAATACTAGATGATTGATTTTCATGGTGTTTTCTGCCTTTGTCAAAAGCTGGGCAGCTGGGTTGAAAAATCTCTAATTTAGTATTGAGATAGTTTTTCTAAAATAGGAAATTCAATATTCTTAACAAAAATGTGGTTCTAAGCACATTAAAGAAAACTGATGGCAAGGAAAGTATTTTCTTGAGCTGAAAGACAACGTGAAAGAAGGAAGAAGCAAACATTCACTGAGCACACTCCCCATCTATAACAAAGAATTGTGTGAGTTCTGCCCTGCGCTTTTACCAATTCCCATTAGCAGGAGTCTTTAGAAGTGCTTGTTAGGTCAAGAGGGTACTGCAGAGAAGTCAAATAAGCAGGCATTCAGAAAATGTCCAGAGGATAAGAAACTGGCCTTTTGAAGAATGGATAGGTTGAAGTGAAAAGACAGGAGTTACTCAGCATTTGTCTTAAAACACATTAAATTTAGGGGTGTGGGAGGACATCTCCAAGCCTGAGGAGAGCAATCTATTTTTCTGCTAAAACAAAGTAATACTCATCTTATTGTTATCAACCACATTTTGGGAAGAAAATGTAACATTTGAGGAGCAAGACTAGGTCTCCAATCCTTTGCCAACAGGTTACTAGACAGGGATAGCGAGCAGGGAGCTGTACGGGTGGCACACAGGCACGCCGGGGAACTGCTGATCTGGTGACTCAGGAGAGGGCAGCTTTGTAAGTGTCCCACAGAATCCACTTATGGCCCTCTTCACTGCGAGCAGCCTGAGTCTTGCTTGGTTGTTCCCAAATACATCCTCATGACTTTTGGGGACGGACTCTACCCTCAAGACTCCTGACTCTGAGGCTCCATGGTGCGTGCCATCCGCCATCAGCTCACAGAACAGCACACAAGCCAGCTGTGTCTGACGGAGGTCCTGAGGTGCCGGGTGAAAGGTGGATGGAAGGGGATACCGTGACCAAACGTCAGACGGTGGGTAATGGACTTCCAGCTTCCCCGATTTCCCTCATAACCCATCAGTTCATCTAAAACCTTGAATTTCACTGCATATTTAATATGGAACTTGTAACTTCTCTTAAAACATAGCCTGCATGTTCTGTGCTGTGTAAGAGAATGCTATGCTTTAGTGCAAGTGACATTTCGATGTTCAACTATGTCTGATGACCTTCTACACCTCTATCTATACATCCTAGTATTTACAAAACATTAATTAATGGGTGGTTTTGGCAAAATGACGACCAGATCCATGGTATAGAATTCGGAGGTCTTTGTCCATTTTATATTCCATGAAGTACTACAAAATTCCATCTCTGTCAAGAAGAGATTCTGTTCTCACAAAAGGAAAAAATAAGAAAGGAGCTTCAGGTTTTCTGCTGGGTTTATATATATCTGTATGTGTACATGGTATCTTTGAGACAGAGTCTCGCCATGTAGTTCAGGCTAATCTCAAATTTATTATGCAGCCCAGGTTGTCCTGGAATGTGCAATCCTCTTGCCTCAGCTTTCCAAGTGCTGGGATTACATCTATTGGAAAGTGACAGAGAAATCCATACAACACAATATTGGGTTGTTCCCTTTGCTTGGAAAGTTTAAGAACTTTCCAGACAAAAATCATGATTCATGATGAGTTACTCTAGGGTTTGTATTTAAATTGTTTCAGGGAGCATAATGCAACATTACTTTCAGTGACTACATCACCAGTGAATACTTAACATTCAGAAATTAGCAAATGCCTGCTTTGAGAGGTCAGGGGTCTGTTAGACTTTGAAGGGTTTGTGACAATATGGATTCGTGGTAAGAAGAAGAAAATTGTATTCCTATCCACTTCTTGTCTTTCTGCATAGAAATCATGGGGTTCAGATGCCACAATATCAGCAGCAGCTAGCCTGGCCCTAAACAGCTCACCTGCAAATCAAAATTCTTTCTTATTAGAGGCAAAACAACAACAAAAGCACATGCACACACACAAAACTCGATATTCAATAAAAACCCAATGTCATCTACAATATCTTAATCTTTCAGTTGGGGGGCAATTTCAACTGATAAAAGAAATAACTACATCAATTATAAGCAGTAAGCAGTCAGAGCAAGCTGTTTCCTTTTACTTCTAAAAAGAGTCTTTGACAGATTAGATTCTGGGGAGGCTACCACCTAAACTTAATCTGGTTTTCTCACATGGAAAGTCTATTATGGTACATTTCCAAAGGGGTTTTATATAATTTTTGTGATGACAGTGGGAGTACCAAACTCCGGGAGAGGCTGAAAGAAAATCTTTAACTGGAAAGACATCCTCTATGGAACACATAAATTAAGAAACTGACGCTTAACTCCATTTTTAACATTCTATCAGGAAAGTAGGAATGAAATTTACTCACTAAGGCATTATATTACTCACATGCCTGTTAAAGCACTGGAATCCTTGTATTTTCTGAGCTTGCATAAACAACTTCATTTACTCTACCCACTCAATTTCTAGAAACACACAGGTACTTGTCATTTCCTGAAGGGGCTTCCACTGAGCTACCCTTGTACATAGGAACACGATGAGGTCACGTCTGAGAGACTTGCACAGCTATCTAAGTGGTATCATTTAATACGTCTTTCCTTAAACATGCTAAAAATCACCACTTTCCTTAAATATGCTACAGTATCACTACTCCTAAGAGTGATTTATTTAAGTAAAGTGGTAAAGGCAAGCAAGCAGCAGAAGCAACGCACAGAAAGTGCTGCAACTATTGTCTCAGCTGGTAACTAGCTGTTGGCAACCAGAGGTAAATTCCTTGACTTTCCAGCCTTCTCAGTTATACAGTAAGGACAGTAATAAAACAACACAAAAACAAGTGCTGCTAAGATCAAATACATAATGCATCTACAGACTTGGCATAATGAACAGCACACAGTAGGTGCCAGTTATTAACATGGTTATTTCCTTAATGGATCACATTACACTGCCAGACAAGTCTGACCATGACTCATAATTCTCTGATTCTGGGGAAAAACTGGTGCAGGGTTTTGAATATAAGAATTTCCTCTCATTTGAACGCAACAATACAGAGATTTAATTTCAACAAATGAAACTATATAATTAGCAATACCAACACAACAAATATACTGTTTGCTATACAAACTAAGCAGCCTCTCAGATCTTTCAAGTTAATATTTTCTGGAATAACGAAAAGAGAAAAAGACAGCACGAGCAGCAAGATAGAAACCAACTTTTTTCTATGAGGCAAGAAAAAGAATGAGACAAAAATTATAACAACATCCTAGTTATGCTCTGTTCAATTTATGATTGCTTTTCCTCTTTTGTCTAAGGGAAGACGAGTGTCCAGGAGGAATGGTGACTCAGAGACAGGAAGGAAACTATTGGGACTTTCTGATACAGGACCAGGACCAGCCACAATACCTAAAACTGAAAATTAACTTTGTGGAACACAAGGCCAACATGTAAAAGAAATGTCATGAATTTTAATTTTAACAAGCACGGCAAATGTACCTGCTTCTTTTAAAGTGCTGCATTTCTGATATATAGATGTCCGCAAGGTGGGCGCCCTTACATTGTACAATCTTATCTTCTCAATCCGAGAATCAAAGACCCGAAGCAAAGCGTCTTTCTCTTCCCACTGAGACATAATTTTATTATCAATAAAGGTAGCAAACATCTGTGTTTCAATGAAGCGTGAAAGAAACGGCAGGTAAGGCTCAGGCTGGTCAGACAGGAAAGAAGCCTGTAATGAGATAATTAGCAAATTATTACTGTTAAGAGAGTATTTCAATACTACGTGTTAAACCTGAAAATTATCATTCATTAAAATTATTCTTTTCAAAACTTAACATATAAAACTGACACCTGAAATTCAAAAATCTTTTATAAATCTAATCTTCCTTTTTCTAAATTTATAGAAGGTCACGTGGGTCTTGAGCACTAATGTTCCCTTTCAAACTGATTTACATTCTGAACCTGATGACCATTACGAAGAGCAGAGGGCTTAATTAAAGAAAGAAGGTGGATAAGCTGCTGTGGTTGTCAGTTATTCACTTCACTTACCAGTAAATCTTGATCTCTCTCCTCAGTAATTTCTTTTGCTCTCCATTTCTAGCCAAAAGGCCATGCATTAACTGATACAATAATGATACCCACATTAGCAACAACTATCTCAAAATGACAACACAGAATTTACAGTGAAGACTGAAATTAACTGTGTTCTTCAAGCGCATGTTTTTCTAGATTCCAACTCTCTTTGTTAATTCAAGATCAAACTCATCAAACTTTTTCAAGACCTGTGCTGACACAACAGTTTGGGGCTTACAAACTGTAAAAATCCTTGCTTGAAAAATCATTGGAATCTCACTTTTGGAAAACTGTCCAGGCAAGCGGCACCTTCCTGTTTCTAGCTCGTTGGATACACAGCGAATTCACTATGTTACAATCCATTTCTGATCCAAAGTGGTCACTTTTTCTTGTTTTTCACGTCCACATGTGCAGGAGCTTTTGTTCAGACAAGCTGAGGTGTGGAAGCAATTTACTACTTTGTTCACTGGGTCCGCTTCCCTTTTCACTCATTCAAACAGATGTGGTGTGGAAGAAGCCAGAAGGGACGGGGGAAGGTAAATTCTGACGAAGGGTTCCTTTTCTTAATAACATACTCATCAGCTTCCTCCTAGTGTACTTATTTTTCACTGTGAATTTTCAGAGGCCTTTTAAAAGCTTCCTTACAAAAATCCACTTACTCAAGTCAAGTGCTTCCATGTTTCAGGTAAATTTATGTAATTCCAAACTACCAGAGAAAGAGGCACCGTAGCTTCTAAAATCAGTTTACCTCCTCAAAGGCATCTTACCGATAAACATCACTCTAACTTTTTATAGAGCAAATAGCCTTAGAAATATGAATCAAATAGTCACATCTAGCTTTTGATGCTCAGACCCTCCTAAGCTACAACATTTAAGATAAACAAAACTTGGCATGCAATATTAGTATGTCCTGCATAGTTTCCTCATGAAAAATGAGACGATTACAAGCCTTCTGCAGAGTATCCAACATAAAACTTTCATTTCTTAAGGGGTTACAGAATTCCACTTCTAGTTTAAGATACATAAAGATTAAAAAAAAAAATTACTAGGACTCAATTTAAGTAAGAATTTTAATTTCCCCAAGGACAAATCATGAATGTAGAGATTAGTTCCCAAGCAGATAGGGAAAAAAGCTTAGAAAAAAGCTAAGGTAAAAGAGAAAGGGAACTAAGAGTAGGAATACACCTGAATAAGTTTAATATTAAAGATATTTCATCAAAAGTGAAGTGCACCTGCAAGTTGCGATGCACATGTAGAGTATCCTCTATCAGAAAAAATATGGAGGTTTTTCTCCGGTACCGGGAATCGAACTCATGACCTTGCGCTTGCCAGGCAGGTGCTTTGCCGCTGAGCTAAATCCCCAGCCCCCAAAAATACAGAGGAATCAGATAATTCTTTTAGCTACTCGCCTTTCCAGAGTTTAGCTCAAATTACGGTCAGATGGCCCAGGACTGTCCATCAGCCTGTGGGAGCACGGCCCCTTCAGGAGGCCTGTGTGACATGAAGATGCCACTTAGTGAAAGCCGTGACTCACTCTAACTGCACTGCTGGACCTCAGCAGTCACAGGCAGGGGCTGAACCGTGCCCCGGTGACCTAGGAGTCAGCGCACAGCCCTAAGTGCTTTTGTCTGGAAAAAAGCAAACCAAGCCAAACCAAACCCTGGGAGATAAATGAAGAAAATGTGGCAGAATACAGTAACCCTTAGAAAAGCTTCTGCAGGACAGTCAAAAGCTGGTCTTCCTTTCCCCACAACTCTGGAACAAAGTCTTAGAGCAACAGTCATAAAATCTAATATACTCTTTCTTTCCCTCTATTGATCCTAAAATGTGGCAAGAATCTGGCTTCTGAAACTGAATGTTACCTTTCCATGGACCAGTGAGTGACTTCAATATGGGATGAAGACTAAACACATATAAGAGAGGATTTCTCAGCAAGGAACATGTTTCATCTCACTAGACTTGATCATAAAATTAGAGTTAAAAACCCTTACAAGGTTCAACAGTGTTAACAGATTTGAAAAACCCGTGAAAAGAGTTTCTATAATTTAAACATTGTGAAAGTTCAAGAAATGCAAAAATGAGATTACAGGTAACATAGCACACATATTAATATCTAGTCATGTGCAGGTTGATTTACTTTTGGGTGAAATTACTGTTTAGCGCAAGGGCCTCTGCACTGAGCTATATGCCCACCCCTTTTAAAATTCTTAATTTTGAGACAGATTCTTGGAAAATCCCTACAATGCTCAGTGTGGGCTCAAACCTGCAATCCTGTCTCAGCCTTTGAGAGTACTGGGATCACAGGCATGTGGCAACATGCCCAGCTAAAGAAAAGTTGGTAATGGGCTGAGAAGAGGAAAAAATAATCTGTGTTTAAAAAAGTTAATAGGTATGGTCGCAAATGCCTGTAATTCCAGCAGGGGGGCCTGAGGCATGAGGATCGCTGTGAGTTCAAGGCCAGCCTGGGCTGCGTAGTGAGTTCAAGGCCAGCCTGGAATACACAGTGAGACTCTGTCTCAAACAACAACAACAGCTAACCAAATCCATAATATACCCCTCTAAGAACCATGAAAAGGAAAACTCTGGTTCTTTTTACTTTGTCAAAGTTCTGCATCTGTTCCCGGTTGGTCAGCCAGGACTCCATGTCCTGAGCGGTCTGAATCACAAACGCTTCATAGTCTGCAAACATCTGTGTGAAGCGGTTAGCGAAGACCTCCCGTAGCTGCACATTGAGCTGGTAGTCCCTGAGCTCTGCCTCCTCACACTGCAGCTTCAGGTCCTTGTCCTTCTCACTCAGGGAAGTGGAGAGGTCCACCTTCTCCACAGTCACCCCAGTGCGCTTGGCCAGGGCCTGCAGGCGAGCGATGGTCTCGTTGCCTTTCAACAGCTCATACATGCTGATGCTGCTGGTGGACACATTGCCATTCTTCTTGTCACTGACCAAGTCCTTCAGCACCAGGTTCTTCAGCTGGGTGGCGCTCTCACTGCAGTGGAGGCTGCCCTCAGGAGGAATCCCGAACTGAAGGAGGACTTCAGCGAGCTCCTGGATGAAATCCACTTTATTGGGGAACTGTGGAAATTCTTCAGGCAGCTCAATAAAATGGTTGTCAATATCCACAAAACACAAATTAGCCTGAAAGAGAAAAAATACAAAGGTTTACAGAATTTTATGCTTTAAATATTACTGCCAACTATTATAAATAACACCATAGATTACGGGTACTTAGGATTTTTCAGTACTTAGAACTGAATCCAGGGCCTCAGCACTGACTACATCCCCAGCTCTTTCTTATTTTGAGACAGGGTCTTTCTAAATTGCCCAGGCTGGGCTTGAACTTGTGATCCTCCTGCCTCAGCCTCTCAAGAGTGCTGGGGATCACAAGTGTATCTTGCCATGTGTGGCTACGATGTTTTTTTTATTTGTTAAACTTCTTAAAAACTATTGATTTTATGTTAACTATCTCAAGGTTTCATTTATTGTTTTTTTTGGGGGTGGTGCTGGGGACTGGACCCACAGCTAAGCATATACTCTACCACCAAGCCACACCCCTACTCCATGAATTTCAGACGAGATTGGGCGCGTTCAGGGTAGTATGGTCGTAGACCACCCCATGAATTTCAGAATTTTTTTCTATTGTAAACTTTGGCTTATTTGTACTTGAGTTCTCATTTTATAGCAAGCATGAAAACGGGAGAGTGGAGTCCATGAGGAGACTAACTGTCAGTCTGTGCTGGGTTCACCACGCTAAGACTTACCTGGTCAGGCAGACCTGCTTTGAAAGTTTGTTACAAACTGCCTCCATCAAATTATCACCCAGGGGCTCCAACGCCTCTTGCCACAGTACCTCAGCAATCTGATCAGTCACTGCTCTAACTTCTCTGAACTCCTCAGAGTATTTAACATGTGCCCAAGTGCAAAGGGACGTCAGTGCTAACACATGACAAGATTACACAAGACAGCTACAGAGTTCAGTCCCGAGGTTATTACATCACCAATAGAGTGGCAGGGTACAAGCGACACACAAGATATTTTTGCCACTATTGTGCTTTATAAAATTTGCATACGTTACTTCAGTTTCAGCTTCAAGCTGTGCTGATAATGACAGGAAAACTCATTTCCACTCATTTTTTTTCCCCAGAACAAAACTATCTAATTGCCAATTCCTTGAGATGCAGGCATTTTCGCTCCAGGGCTGAAGGGGCAATGTAAAGCTTGTCCCCGCCACACACCTGTCCCTACATCTCGCATTCCTGCTCCAGCTCGTGCAGCAAGATAATCAGCCTTAGCTGTTGCCTGAAGCATGGACTCTGGATGTGGACATGCCTCTCCTTGATAAATTTTAATTTAAGCCTTAAAATGTTCTACAAGATCTCTACAAGTGATTTTAGATCCACTTGCTTCTTTTTCTACCAAATTTTCAGGGGCAAGCAGCAACGGAACTAGATCGCAAAGCTCTCCCTTAAATTCTTCACCAATATCTTTCAATCTCCCATCAAAACTAGGGCTGGCTGCAACTTTAAGACCAGGATGTGGCAAAAGGAAGCAACCCAGATTTGAGAAATAATTATGAATGTGCTTCCCTGCACTCTATTGCTCTTCATGCTGATTTTGTTTTACCTGCAATCTCTTTTCAAGAAATTGTGTTCTACCTTCCAAACAACATGAATGTCCACAAGGATAACCCTAATCTCTAATCAAAAACATTAACATCTGAAATGGTTTCTGATAGATTTCTTCCATGGCAAGTCTTCCATATTCTGTAAATAATTTCAAATACTGAAGATCATCTTCTAGAATATTCTGAGACAAATTACATACCTGGGCAGATTAATCATAGTGCTCACAAAAAAAACTGCTGCACAATCTTTGCTAGTTGACTGGCTATCAAAGGTACCCTGGGTATCCATTAGCTGCACAGCCACTTTTGCTCCACTGGGGCTGTCAATCACAAATCCTTCATTCTAAACTTGTATACCGTTGTTTCTCTTTCATAACCATCTCGCCACGTAAAGCCAGTGAATGGTTCATTGTTTCCACCAATCCAACTTTGAGAACCCTTGTTATACATATGACAAGGATTAAGTGTGAAGTCCAGCAGAGATGATTTTCCTTTAAGAAAAGCTCCTATCACAGATACTACAACTATGTTAAGATCTCATTTGTGCTCCTGTAGCCAAACCTGCTCCAAAGCTTCATCCTCAAGCTCAAAGTTCTGATCATTTTCAAGAGCAAGAGCCAAAACAACAGGAACTGGACACGTTTCTTCACAACCTCATTAGAGCGTACGAGGTCATCATCTTCATACTCCTCACTCAGGGAGGCAGTGGACGAGATGTGGTTAACCACAGAACGGAGGGAGCTGGTCCGCCACTGGTGCCTCAGCCCCTGGTACAGCTGCTTGAATTTAAGAATTTTAAACAATCTCTTGCTGGCACACTCCCCCAGGTATTTTGTATCATATTTAATATTTATGAACAGCTTTTTCCTGGTCTCAGGAATTTAATCTGACAAGAAGCTCTAGTTTGGCACCCACTGGGCCTTCCTAAATGTATAAAGGTGTCCAGACTCACAGGACCTCAAAAATGAAGATCGCTGGGTCAAACACTCACGGGATGAGCTTTACCGTTCTTCGCATTCCATTGCTCTAGCACCTGTAACTTAGAATTGACAGTAACTGCTAAAAACTGGGGCTGGAGTAGCCCCAAATGGGACAAAATTGGCAAAGATCAATCCAATTGAAAGATAATCACAAACTGTCACTTTACCCAAAACCAGCTAATCCTAGAATAATGCAACGATTTTAAAAGCCACAGGACAAAAAGCAGGAGGCAGAAAGAAGTGGAAGCAAGTGCCTGGATGATGACAAACGATTCAGTCCTGAAAGCTTAGAAGGGGACTCAGAAGAGATTCTTGTGGGGGAAAAAAGGCGACAGAAATCAGAAGGAATGTTTTCTGAGTTTGCTTACATTTTAGACTTGGAATTTATTTTGAATAAAGATTTAAATATTTTTGGAGTAGATATAAACAATTTAAGAGGCCAAGTCTCTGAATAAAACCTGGCCTCTCCCTTAGATGTTTAATAGTAGTAAATGCCAAACACCATTTTATCTCACCACCCCGCACCATCTTAATCAGAACAGGCCGTGGGTGAGAAAGATCCCTGAGCTTTGGAGCAAGAGCAGGGTGGAAGGGTAGAAGGGCGCTGGCACCAAAGGCAGAGCCTGTCCCAGAAAACTGATCCCAATCCCACGGACAGGACTGAGGCACGGCCTGGGATAGGGGAAGCAAGCGAACTCAGAAGCTTCCACCTGTGCTCCCCTCTCCCCCCAGGTCACCAGGGAGAGAATTCACACTGTCCTCTGATCCCGAAGTCTCCTCTGATCCCTGCTCACTGGGCTACATAATAAGCAAGAACAGTGAAGTTTAAATTAAAAAACAAAAATCTAACATTTCCCCTGTGCTAACAACTGATGATGATTCCTACAGCCTGATGTAACCTTTAAATTCAGTCTTGCAGATTAAGAAACTGAGGCCCAAGATAGTAGGTGACTTCCTGGCGACTGCTCTCAGTGTGTATCCTCAAACAGACTGGTGGCTTCTGGCATTTTTTGTTTTGTTTTTATTTTTCAAGTTTTCCTTATCTCCCATGTCAATAGCCTTTTCAAAATACACAGCTGAAATGAGCTGGACATGCTAGCACATGCTTGTAATCCCTGATACTCAGGAGGCTGAGGTGGGAGGATTAAAAATTTTAGGCCAACTTGGGCAATTTAGCTGAAATTTAGCGTGTCTAAAAATGAAGCGGGGGAGGGGGCAGGAATGTAGCTCAGTGGTAGAGTGCTCAGCTTGCACACATGAAGCCCTGGATTCAATCCCCAGTACTAAAAACAACAAAAACAAACAAACAAACAAAAAAAGAGCTGAAATGTAAGATAGTAGTGCAGCCTATTGCTTTTCTAAAGCCACATCTTAATATATGTGTCTTCAGTCCCTAGAAAGTAGGATGAATTGAAATGCTTAACAGGAGAAAGTAGGTCACCATAATTCAAACAGATGATTCATTATTTTTAAAAATGGAAAAAATTCTCTAACCTGCTAATCTACAGGTTAACAAGCACCCTCCTACTATTGCATGTTATACTACCTGCTTCATGAATGCCTGTCACCCTCTCAGTCCCTGTCCTCTTCCTAGGAAAAGAGAGAAGGGTACGTTTTGTGACACTTCGAAGCTGGCTAAGCCATGTGACCCTGCTAAACTGAAGTGTGTGGGTGTGGGAGTTCAGCCTCCCAGCTCCTGGCCTGTCCTCCTGCTCTTCAAAATCCTCTCATACTGCCTATGTCTGTTCAGAAGGGTCCAAAGGGGCTCTGATGATCCCAGGTAGGAGGAGGAAACAGCAACCTGAGTTACGAAAATATACTGCACAAACCAAAAAGCCCTTTCTCTAAAACAAACAATTCTGTACAATGAGATTTCCGGTAAGTTGCTTCCTCTCTTTAATACTATTAGAATTTTAAAATTCTACCAGATGAGCTAAACAAGGATTACATACATAATAAAAAATACAGTCCATGCCCAATCTGACACTTATTGGGACTAAATCTTTTTACATTTCTACTGATCAACACCACTCACAAGCCTTCGTGATATGTAATTACTACCAATTAAAAAAGATTCAAAAGCTGTCTCACAGGTTGAAACGATTATCTCTTCCATAAGTAAGCCTTCTTACACATCTAACTTAAAGGTTCCAATGTCCTCTACACACTTCATTCACTTATTCCTCTAATTCTTAAACATGTGCTGTTTAGTAGTAACTGTTTTGAAAGTTGAACTTACTCTTTCTCACCTTGCTGTCTCCTGCTGTACTCTGTGCACAGTGTCTGAGACAAGTCATGAAGCCACACAGACAAGGTTGGAATGTCAGCAAGAGCAAGAAGCATCTAGTGATTGAGCAGCGGCAGCTGTCTGCACGTTTACTAGGCGTGGGCTGCCTCGGGCTTTCTCTTCCACAATAAAACAAAGAATTTCCTCAGAATTCCAAAGCAAGGTATGACAAAAAGAGTGGCAAAAGCCATTTGGCTTCAGCTTTTCTCTCTCTCTTTTTTTTTTTTTTTTGCCTACCACTTACTGTAAAGATGAGCAAGAATGACAGAAAGTGAGGTGTCACTCTGCAGTTCATCTCCAGGCCACAGCCTTCTCCCTTCGAATTCCCCACGCGCCCAAAAACAAGCTAACAAAGGGCACTGGTGCCTAGCATCTGGGAGTCACGGGGAAAGGGAGTGGGTGGTTAATTATAAGTCTGCGCACTCCAGCTAGTTACCTAACAACTAACTTCATACCTTCTTAAAATAACCATTTTGTAAACTTGTCATTTTTACTATTTTTAGAAGCCTCATCACTATTTTTAGCCATTATTTTATTTTATAATTTTCAAGGCAAAAGCTTGGGAAATATTACTGAGTACATTTAAGTCACTTTTTGTATGAACAATGGGTATTTTTATACTCACATCTTCCTCAAAATTATGTGAGGCAGATTATTTCATCTTATTGTATAATAATATCGAATGAAGTGGTACACTCTTAGCTTTTTCTTCCAAAAAGTGATGCACCTAATTTATAGTCTTTATACTGAAGCACTGTTATTTTCACAGCTGATTCAGGTTATTTCATATAGCTCTATGAATAGACAAGTATTGTATTATTTAGTGTTGAGGGGCTGAGGTAAAGGTCAGTGGTAGAACACTTGCCTTGTATAGGCCCTGGGTTCTACCCCCAGTGTGCGCACACACAGTCAGTATTCAGATCCCGACTAAAAAAATCAGACATCACTACAAAGGCTTTCAGAATTTTTACCCTGTTTTGTTTAGAGATAGAAGATGCATGCAGACACAGAAAGATTTCCCGACAACAAATATACCAAGGTAGCATTTAAAATTTTCTCAAGAAGGGCCAGGGATGTAGCTCAGCAGCATAGCGGCTGTCTGGCAAGGTCTAGGCCCTAAGTTTGACTGCCAGTACCAAAAAAAAAAAAAAGAATTCCCAAAACTATTTATGTAAAATGGACAATACTTATCTAAATGGTCTTATAAAATATCATTTGAAAAAATATCATTTCAATAACATAGAAAATACATCAGATGTAAGAAACTGAAAGTGTAAATAAAGACCAAAATGTATATTGAGGTACGGTGAAATAGGAAGAAAATGTTCTAATGGGGAGTGGGACGGGGGGCGGTGGGGAAGGAAAGAAGGGAAAAGTTTAAAAATGAGAAAAAAAAGGAAAACATGGGAACAAAGCTTTTATAACTGTGGAGATAAGGAGGGGCTGAAGAGACAGTAGGGATATGGGAAAAAAGAATCAAGTTATATACAGGTACAAATTCTCTACGGTGAGTGTGAGCTGATTAACAAAAAGAAAATAGATCAAATACTGAACTAGAAACTGAAAACATCATTATTTAAGTCTTTAAAACAAAATGCATTTGCCTAATTTTTTCCTTGAAAATTTAAAGGACTTACTTTGAACCAGCAAGAGACTAAATTTAATGAAAGAGAAAAGAAGAAAATTTAGGGAATAGAGAAAAGCAGCAAAATGTGGTGGTGGTGGGGGTACCATGAAAAAGCCCTCCAAAATATGGCAATCTGAGCATATATTCTCTATGACCCGAATCAAGCTGTTTTTCTTTGAACAAAAATGTTAACTTTGGTAAGGAAACATTCGTTAGAATAAAAGTAAGCAATAGACAATTACCAGAATCATTACTGGGTATAATGTGGCTTAATGTGTTACTTTAAATTTATTTATTAAAATGAGAATCTCTATGGGAAATAGGAACAAATAACGGTGAAGCTCAGCGTTAGGGATTTTATTAAGACAGGTGTGAATTAAATAGCTGGTAATATGATGTAATTAACCATTTCACGCTTAACAGGCCACGTCACTCCTGTCAGCATTTCATTTCAAAGGCTTTACATCACAATTCTGAGGACCATTAGCAAGTAAATATTAGATTAAGAATGTGTTCAAAAATTCTTGCTTATTTTCCTCTTAAATAACATTTTAAAATACAATGCACAAAAAACCATAGTAACATTAAGGTGGCAAAAAACTAGAGGCTAAGAGTTTTTTCTCACTGACCAAGCCAGGTTAACACTTGGAGCAGGCTGACAATCGGCCTTGGGTCTAAAAACAGAACAGCAAAGTACGCAATGCTTTTATTACGCCCCATCCGCTGAAAGATATTACTTTTAACCTGAATGCAGGTAAAAAAATCAATTCGCCTCAATTACTGCAGTACAATAATTTTTTCAATGTTAGGCCTGGGATTTATTGCTTAAAAACAAAGTTTATAGCATGAGCATGGAAAATAGATGCTATTAGAATAGTAAAGCAATGAGACTGTGCTTCACAAACCAGTGGTTGTGAACATCAGCCACTGCCCTGCTTTGAAGTCTGTAACCCATGGCTACACTGTAGAAAGGGAAAGGAGTCACAGTCAGCATCGAGGGCTCAGGCTCTACCCCAGCCACACTTGGGGATTCAGGGGCGACAGTGAGACAAGTGGGCAGAGGAAAGTGCTCGTCCACCAAAGCAGACCTGACCCAAATCCACACAAACGTCTCATCACTTGTTGTGCCTGTTACCTCTTGAGGAAGCTCTAGTTTAGAGCGGTCAGTTCCTTCTTTAGACTGAAGGCCCATGAGATACGGGACAGGCGCATCAAGAAAATGCAGCAGGGAAGCAGGGAGGATGGGCACATACACGTGCTGCCACTGAAACGGGAACAAGAGTGTGGTGATGCCTTCCGCCACCGTCATCAGGCGCTGGTAATCTGCAGGAACAAAGGAGAAATGGAAGGAAGAAGATACCAAGTAAAACTACCTGCTGCAGTAAGCGTGAAAATGTAAAACAAAATTATGTTAAACTAAGTAAAATGTTTGTGATCGTACAGCTAACAGGCCAGCTCTATGCCATCGTAACGAGGGTTAAGTGGTTTCACTTGAAAGGTTTTAAAGAGGAGCAGGTAGATGGGAACATCACGCTTTCTGCTTCTTAAAATCACTGGCATGTGAACTTACACCCCCTTAAAACGTGGAAGACTCAAGAACTCATGAAACTGCTCTTGGCACTTACCCCATCAAAAATGTGCAAGTGATGGTGTCGCTTGTAATAACCTTTTGTTTTCTTTCTGTAGAACCTCCCATTCAGAGGCTTTTTTTCTTGTATATATGTGATAATGGCACTAGCCTTTGGTAGGCTGATTGTGTTTACTTTAGTTTTCACGCTGTGAGTACATAAAACCCAATGAAGATATGGAACGATAGTCACACTTCTTATTTCTAGCCCTAACTACAGAACCACGGCATCTAGGGACAGAATGACTTGGCAGATAATTAAAGGTTGAGCTTTGCTGTTGTTGTAGTCTGATTACCTAATTCATCAAAACTGGAAACTGCCTACCATACTTCTAACACTTGGGAGGCTGAGAGAGAAGGATGGCAAATTAACCAGGGCAACTTAATAAATAAATAAATAACCTTAAATAAAAAGGGCTGGGGATGTAGCTCAGGGTGAAGTCACCGGATTCAATCCCCCGTACTGCAAAAGGAAAAAACAGTCTTTAATATTAAAGTGCTCTCTTAAACCACTCTGTCATAGATGTTACTTACATGTGTCCATGACCCCAGGGAGGCAGACATGTTTTAGAATTCAGATTTTTTTTTAAATTTAGAAAGGTAATAGTATTATACTTAGACCATATAAGTGAATTACTTAAAGCGGCACCCTATAATCAGATACATTAATATCCTCAGAGCAAACCATACCAGAGTTCCAGGACAGCAGAAAACTCAACGACTATAAATAAGGTCTCTTTGGTTTGGTGTGGTTTTGCTGATAAGTGAGTTACAGAATGTTTGGTTTTCAGAATTTTTTTGGATTTGAGAACTGAGATAAGGGATCATGGATTTGTAACAATCTCACAGAATGCACTGTGCATACAGTAAGCATGGAGGAGGAAGAGTTTGGGGAGTCTTTTATAAAGTTTTGAGGCTAAGCATGGTGGTGCACGCCTGTAATCCCAGTACTTGGGAGGCTGAGAGAGGAGGATCACTGAGAGTTTGAGGCTAGCCTGGACTACAAAGTGAGTTCAAGGCCGGCCTGAACTGCACAGTGAAACCCTGCTCAAAAAGATTAAAAAAAAAATTGTTATGAAATGTGAATCAGATACTACTTAGGTCATTTTTTTTTCTTTTTCTTTTGTTTTTCTCCGGTACCGGGAACCGAACTCACAACCTTGTGCTTGCCAGGCAGGCGCTTTGCCGCTGAGCTAAATCCCTAGCCCTGAATCAGATACTACTTAGTTCACATCAACTCAAGGAATACCTGTGGAAGAAGTAGGATGGTTTTTATTAAAACATTTTTCTTGTACCATTTTATAATTTTTTGCTTTCATTTTTTGAGGCAGGACCTCACTATAGAGTCCTTTTACTTTTACCTCCGAAGTAGTGGGATTAAAATTTTTTAATTTTCAATGACTATTCTTAATAGTCTACAATGGGATTTTGGTTGAGGTATTATTAAGACTAAAATTTTAAGTGAAAATCTCTGCACATGAATACTTCTAAAACAGGAAGTGGCTTGTAGGGTGAGGGTCAGTTCTGTGAGCAAACAGCTGACCCAATTACCACACACACACACACACACACACACACACACACACACACACACAGTCTAAGGCGGGGGAAGGGCTGGGCCGGCCAGCTGGTGCTCTGGGAGGTGGTGGAGGTGGGGTGGTGGCAGCTATGCCGAGGTCAGATGCTGTGGCATTACCTACTGCGCAGTGACTGGCTACAGGTGTGCAGTGTAGGTGAGGCGGGGCTTCTCACATAGCTGGAAGCAGGGACGGAGCACTGGCCAGAAGCCTTGAGGTGGCATGGAGTGCTCTCTCAGAACTGACTGCCACAGCACAGGGACCTGAAAGGCACTTCCCAGGGTGATCCCTCCTCCAGGTCGGGTTCCCTCAGGCAAGCGCAGGGTCTGTCCAGTTTCGTTCTGACCACCAAACACACAGCCAAGTGACTACAATTTACTGATGCTACTAAATGTATTTTCCTCCTGCTAGGTTCAATCAAGCTCTTTTTGTTGTTGTTTTCTTGAGACAGGGTCTTGCTATGTACTTCAGGCCAGCTTTAAACTCACTATGTAGCCCAAACTGGCCTTGGACTCTTTGCCATCCTCCTGCTTCAGCTTCCCAAGTGCCGGGATTACAGGTGTACGCCACCACACCCAGCTTCAACAGAGTCTTAAAAACACAAAAAAAATCAAGAGTAGGAAGACTGGCCAGTAATTAATTAAAAAGATCAAGTCCAAAAAAAAATATCCTTAAGATTCTACTTTGTAGCCATCCATTTCAAGGGTCAGGGACTTGTTGGTTTTTGTAACCTCACTACCTAGAACAACATCTAGCATATAATAGAGGCTAAAATTGCTCTTTAGTAAAAAAAATAAATTAGTAAGGTAACAATACATAATTTTGCCGGTACCCACAACTTACATAGGCTTGTTTAAATTTTTGTCCACATGAGATTAAAGAACTCCCAATGTTTCAGGAATAGCAAATGGCTACTACTGAAGATAAGAAACTGTTCACTGAAAGTCACATTTCGTGAAATAGTCACGAATGTTCTGTCGGGAAGGGCAAGCCCAGGCCCACTAAAGGCAACCCAAGCACCCATTACTAAGCCCGGCTGCTGCTCCTCCTGCACAAGCGACTTGCTCGGACTGTAAGGAGACCTTAGGGATCAGAGCTCTAAGAACAAAAGTCACATTTTAACATTTCACGTGTTCTGCATTAAGAATATAAAAGGTTTAACATCCTAACACAGTCAGGCTTCCTAAAGCCCTCAGAGTGGGAAGGGGCTCTAGGGGACTACTCTCAGCTTTCTGCAAGTGACTGGAGAGCGAAAAAGCTCCAAGTCACCCCACCAGGAAGAGATATTTCACCTCTCACTTCCAAAGTTTGAGAGCAGAGACTTTAAAGTCAGAAGGGAGAAACATATTCAAAATGCACGTTAGGATTATTACAAAAGTAACTTGACAGCCTTATCTATGTTTGCTAACTTAGAAATTACTATGAGTTACTATATCATTACTCTTTGTTACTTTAGTTACTATATAATTAGTACACTACATATATACTCACTCTTTAGTTACTGTACTTACTATATGGTTATGGTTAACACTTTATGGAGTTTTATTGTCACAAAATCATTACATAAATAAACTAGTATCAGTTTTTTTGGAAGGTACTGCTAAAGACAACTTTCTGCCACAATCACTTAAAAATCACTTTAAAAAAATCAATGTTTGTAACTCAGCTAGCTTCTTTAAACACACACAATAAAATGAAAATCTAAAATTTAAAAAATAACTGTCTTCTACAGCATTAAAAGAACTAGACTTAGCCCTTTAATAATGTGAAGCAGGGATATATTCTTTCTGTAATTTTTTACTTACCTCTAGCACTTTAGAACACCTTAGGATTTTTTTTTTTTTAAAGAAAAAGGAGGAATGAAAAGATTTATTTGGCTAACAGAAATTATTAATTCATTTCTCATTTAATGCTTCTCAGGCAAAACCCCCAGGAACACAGCTGGTGTGAAGCTGGGTGTATTGCTTACGGGAAAGGGAAAAGGCACGGCTCACGGCACTTGTGGGTATCCTAGTGAGGAAAGGATCTGTGATAGGAGTTGAGTTTTGCTTGGATAATTCTGAGGACAGTCTGAGGAGATGGAGACTGGGTTTGGGTTGGGAGCTGTGAGAAATTAAGGCGACTCTGTGAGGGTTTAGCTCAAATCTGATCTACAGCGAGGGAAGACTGAAGTGAGTATAAAGCTGTAACAGGGACCGGGGTGTAGCTCAGTGGTACAGCACTTACTACTATGTGTGAGACCCTGGGTCTGGTCCTTTTTTATTTCTCCCTCAATTATGAACCAGATGCAGGTGAAAAACTCGGGGGCTTAGCAGTCACATCATGTGCCAGTTACTCACTGACTGCCTTGCAGGTCCACGTCCATTCAGTGCACGCTCCATGCTAATCAGTGGGACTCTAAGCACTGTCTACACTGAGCGCAAGGTTACAGCTTTGCCAGGGCGAGGCAAAGGACAGACCCCAGAATGGGCTTTTCTTCCTAGCCTCAGGGAGGACAAAGTGCTGTTTGCTTGTCCTTGCCGTGCTGTGAGGCTGACCAGCACTGTAATATGTTGAATGGCTCGTGGCACCTGCCCCAGCCACATGCCCAGAGGTGGCTGGGGCAGGTGCCATGAGCCATTCAACATATTGGTAGTCCTGCTTCCAGGTCCCTTCAACCAGACATTGTACATTTGGACGCCCCACCATGGTGCCAGACGGCCTCTGGCTGCTCACCAGCCACAGCTCATTTGTGCCTTGGAGGTTGGCTTTTTGCTGTCCCCAGACGGCACACCAGCCCTGACCCAGGTAACCAACTGACTTTCTCCAGACTTTGTAAGGTCAGTCCTCCTGGGTCACCTTAGCAGTTCTATGTCTCTATGGCTAGGCCCCTGTCAATACTTCATAATGTTGCACTATATCCCTCTGTTTAAATTATTGTGTGGGTTTGGTCCCCTGGTTGGGCCTAAACTGAAAGGCACAGGGCTTAGAGCAGTCAAATCAAAGCCTAGCAGCTTAGCTATGTTATTTACAGCTGGTGGGGAAAATTTTTAATCTCCTAGAAACACAAGTTCTAAAGGAATGGTGTCTGGTTTCTCCTTTGATTATGGAAAACAACACTGTGGGGAGCAGAAATAAAC